ACGACGCTCGCCGCTGAGACTGGCCACCGCTCGCCCCCAGACCAACCGCGAACCCTGCCCCAAAATGCTCACGGACCGCTGCCCGCTTCGCCCCCTCCCCCCCCATCCCGACGGGGAGCGGGGCCCCCTCCTCCCCCGACGCACGCGACGCACTCGTGCGCCCAGGGCGTGGGGAGGTGCCACCAGGTGCCACACCCGAGGCGGGGGGGGGGCAGGGGGCCCCGGAGGCCTACCCTCAGGTCGGGCGTGTCCTCCCACAGGGGCACTGTGGGCGAAAACTAAAAAATAGTCAAAGCATATATTCCAAAATGGTCAAACATAGGAACACAATCGTCCCTGGATGTTTTCTGCCTACTTTGAAATATTCCTCCTGTAGAGGGACAGGCCCGACTCAAACCCAGAGCTATCCGTGCGGTCAGGACCCGTGGCCGGGCGTGCCGCGGCGGCGGCCCTACAGGCGGATTTAGGAAGAAAAAAAAAACTAGTCAAACCAATACCCTCCAACAGAAGCAAATAATAGTCCAAAAATGCTCCCAAAACGGCCCAAAACGATCAAACATACACGATCTTCATTTCTAATCGTGCTCATTTCTAAGTTTGCTCGTTTCTAATTGTTCCTGGCCCCCTAGTGGCCAGGAAGAGGCCCAGGATGGAACAATTAGAAATGAAAGGATCTCGGCCCCCAAAAACCGAGAAATTTTCCAATAATAAGAACTGAACCGTGTGTAGCCCAACAATCATCCCCTGACTATTTTTGGACTCGTTTTGGATGTCCCGTAGGAACGTAGGGACAGGGGCTGGGCAGAGAGCTGAGGGCTTGCCCGCCCGAGGACTGGGACGGAGCTCGGCGTGACGCGCCGGAGCGCGGCGAGCCAGAGCCAGCGCCGCGGCACGCCAAAGCATACGCTCCTCACCGTTAGGTCGGGCATGGCATTTCTGTAAAGAAAAATAAGAAATAGCCACAAAAAATACACCCCAAAAATGACCAAGAACAGTCAACAGATCGTCCCCAGACTATTTTCTGGACAATTGTTTAATCGTCCTCCTGTAGGGGGACACGCCCGACTTGAAGCCAGCGGAGCGGCACGCCAAGCAAGCGTTCCTCACCGTGGGCCCCTGGACGCCTCTGTAGGTCCTCGGAGGCCCCATGCAGGTGACCTCAAGATCGAAGAGGGTGAAAAGCGTCCAGAGCGCCGATCCTCGATCCTCTCTGAAGGGGGGCTCCAAGAATAATTACACCACGTCGCCTTTCGGCCAGGGAGCCACTCGACTCGTCGAAGAAACCTGATGCACAGACGCCCTGGCATCCCACAGCAGACCCCCTCCACATTGAAAGCTGGGGCGTGTTTGCACCGAGCTCTTTGGCCGCCAGCACGGTCTGGTGAAGAGTATACAGCCGACGCACTCGCAGAACGAACTTCGGATAGGGAACGGTACCCCTCTTGGGAATCGGTTGCGCCTGGATGCAGGAGGAGCGCCTGAGGAAAGCCCATGGAAGGGCCTGAGGAACGCCGAGCCTACTCTTAGGTCGGGCGTGCCCTCCTACAGGCCGATTTTCGAGGAAAAATTGCAACAACAGAAAAAAGCAACAAACATCCCAAATTGTTTTTAAAAAAATACACTCGGAAAATCGTTCCCATATTAATGTTTGACTCTTGTTGATATTCCCCCTGTAGAGGGACAGGCCCGACTTAAGCCTACTCCGAAACCAGTGGGCCTTTTTCTAGTAATCTAACTGCACCCCAGGCCCCGATCCTCGATCCCCTCCTCACTCCCTCGCTCGACGCGCACGACGCCGAGCTGAGGGCGGCTGCACGCAGGAGTGCGTCCTGGGCAAGAGTGACGCTTGGCGAGCGGCTTGCAGCTCGCTGCATGCGATGCGCCAGTAGCGGCCTGCGTGTTTGGTCTTGCTCTCCCTCCCCCGCCCCCGCGCCAGGCGAGCGGGCAGCTCGCAACGATCCAGTGGGCAGTCCGTGTTTGGACCAGGCAGTCTCGATCTCAAACAGCCGACGGGTCCTCGGGAGGGAGGGCGCCCCCGGCAAACGTGGGGAAGAATGGTAACGAACAAGTGTTTGGACATTGCTGGCGCCCCTGCCCGTCTTGCTGACCACTTCCGCCCGGAGGGCGGTGCAGCGCTGGCATGGAAGTCAGCTGTCCGCGCATGGCATATTTGAGTCCTGTGCTGTAGCATGCTCGCTTGATTGTCCAACCGTCTAGCGAAAGGCGACCTGACCTGACCCCCCCCCGCGCTCTCCTAAAAGCAGCGCGCTCAAGGTCCCTCCGGCGAAGGGTCCCTCTGACGCGTAACCGATGAAGGGGGAGTTACCCTCCGAGTCCCCCCCTCTTGCTTGGCCTGCGCTGTGCTCCGTGCGTCGCTGCAAGATGAGAAACAGGTGTAAAAACTCACAACTCAGGGTCTCCACATTGCGGGAACAACTCAGCCAAAAACATATTCCGTCAGCCTGGACATTCGGCCCCGCTGCTTTGGGGGTGTGCTTCCCCAGCCTTGTCATTCTCCTCCCAGGAGTCTACAAGCATGACTGTTGCCATCATAGAGCGTGGCAGCGCGGGTGCGCGCAGAGTTCTGCGCTCCGCGTGGTGCGAGGCTGGGCGATCTAGAAGACGGAGCCGGGCCTCTTGACCCCGAGTCCCGTTGCCCACTCCTCTCACCATCCCTTTCCCGTCCTCTCCACACCTTCTCTCCACGTCCCCTCGGCCAACGCATCTTCCCAAATTTGGGGGTGTCTTGGCCACGTCTCGTCAATCTCTCCAGAAATCCGACGTCGTGTTTTGGTTCGGTCGGAAGGAATTCGAACAGACGGTTCGAAGGATGCGCCGCATTGCCGATTCATCGGCGAGATCGGCGATGCATCGGCGCAACTGGCGCGGGAACATCGGGCTCCGCATCGAGCCGCATCGCTGATGCATCGGCGATGCGGCGCGATCCTTCGACTCCATCAACGCGGATCCCGTTTTAGGTGGCCTGGATCCAGACCCACGACGTCGTAACTCGTTCACCACGTCGAACCCCGGAGGTCCCGAACCATCCCCTGGGGCAGTTTTTTCGCCCCGAATCGTTTGGCGACCCCGACGCCCGGTGAGGGCCCCCAGGGCCGGAACCGCCGTGATCTTGTCACAACGCGGGGGGTCTGGAGAAGACCACGGCGCCGGAGGTCGGGGCCTGGGGGCCTCCGAGAAGGGAGGAGGGAGGGAGGGAGGGAGGGAGGGAGGGAGGGAGGGAGGGAGGGAGGAGAATCGCGCGGTGGCAACTGGCGCCAGAATGTGAAGGTGAAGACGTGCAAAGGTGTGGAGGTACGTTGGACCCCTGCCTGCAGCCGTCTTCGCTGGCCGAGGGGCTGCAGGGAGGTCCTCGGCCCCCTCCGGTGGCAATTGGCGCCATCATGAAAAAGTGTGGGCGGGGAACACACGCAACCCCTATGATGGAAGCTGCGCGGGGTGTGAGGCCTATGATGGTCCTCACGGGTAAGGTCTAGAGACGGTCCTCGCCCGGGGGGGGGGCGAGAGGGAGGGGGGCGCGCGCGCGCGCGTCGAGGTGGTTCCTGATGACAGTCATGGAGGGGATTCCTGAAAAGGGGGAGCACCAAGATGGCATACACTGTTTCGACACCGAAACTGAATATGCCCGCGCACTCGTTATCCCAGGGATTGGGATAAGAGGCGCAAGCGCAGACGCATTTGCACACAATCTGACGTCACTGTTCCCGACAGCCCACTCCAGGACAGCAAGAGGGCGACGACAACGACGACGACGACGACGAAGACGACGATGACGACGACGACGAGACGACGACGACGACGACGACGACGACGACGACGACGACGACGACGACGACGACGACGACGACGACGACGACGACGACGACGACGAAGGGGTTGCACAGCTCGTTCCGGACAGGCTCTTCCGGAACGTGCTGTGCAACCCCTGCTGGCCAGACTTCCTGTCCTCCATGTGCCTCATAGGGGTGTCAGCGCCTCGCCGTCTGCATCCACGGTGTTGCATCGCACGTGGGAGTGATACGGATACTTTGGCCTTGAGGGGTGTCGCGGCCACGACCTGGCAGAGCAGAAGGACGAGATAAAGGAGAGCAATCGTCCAGACCGTTACGCTTCAGGGTGACGTCACCGCCACCGCCCGCGAGGAGGGGGCAGGGAAGGGGGCAAGCGGGGGGAGAGGAGGAGGGAAGCGGGGCAGGGGAGGGAGAAAGGGGGGAAGAAAGGAGGGAGGGGGAGGAAGGGAAGGAGGGGGAGTCGCGTTGTCACGGGTTCCGCCAGAGACTTCGGCGAAAACTTGGGGCGAGGGAGCTGGAGGAGGAGGAGGAAGGCTTGAGGAAGGGGAGGCAGAGGGAGGAAGGGAAGGGAGGAGGAGGAGGGGCGGAGGGAGGAGGAGGGGAGGGGAGGGGGGAAGGAGGAATGGAGGAAAGGCGGAAGAGGAGGAGGGAGAAAGGGAGGAAAGGAGGAGTGGGAGGAGGGAGGGAGGGAGGAAAACCGCAACGAAAAGCCTCTCGCCGTGACTGCCGTCCACAACTTCGAGGGGGTCTTGGGGGGAGCCGGCTGGCTGCATTTTCCCCAGGGTCGGCCAAGGGGGGGCGTCAGGAGGGGGGGGGGGGGGGGGCCGCAGATCATGGCCGGCGGCACATGCCCAGCTTCGGGGAGGGGGGGGGGCCGGGGACGCAATGCAATCAGAAGAGGCGCCATGGAATCCGAGGAAATATCATGGCCCACGCACATGATTAGGAGAACGAGTTATGACATGGAGGTTCGCGAGGCTTCCTTGGATCCGCGCTGGACCCCCCTCCCTGGCGCGCGGAGCGCGCCAGCGGCGGCGCCGGAGGCGCCGCCAGGGGGCCCCAGCGCCGATCCGAGAAACCCGCGCGGCCCTCAGAGTTTGTATGTTTATGCCACTCTTCGTTCTCCTAGTGTAGCCCAACCCCCCCCTCTCTGCCGCTCCCGAGCTGCCCGCCCCCGCCCGCGGGGGGGGCGCTCCTCCTCCGCGGGCCGCCCGACCACGACGGCCGCGGGCTCCGCGGGCTCCGCGGGTGCGGCCGCGCCCTCCTCGACCGCGGCCTCCTGCCGAGGCGCCGCCGCCCGTCGCCGCCGCCCCCGCCGCCGCCCTGGCGGTGAGATGGTCGACCCCTCCTCCTCCTCCTCCTCCTCCTCCTCCTCCGTCGTCGCTCTCGTCCGCGTCATCCTCGCCGTCGTCATTGCTCAGGGGCTCAGGCAGGGACGGCAACCACCACTGCAGGCACGGGGGGGGCCGTGGGCACCTCCTGGATGGGCATGCGAGCCTGACAAGATCCATGTTTCTTCCTCCAGCCTGCAAGCCCTCCTCCTGCTCATCCTTCCTCGTACTCCTCTCCCATGTTTACGTACTTCACATCCCGCAATGAAAAACATGCTGGATCAGCAAAGCATGATGGATTAGCAACTCGAGCAGGGAATCGACTACAGAGCTCATTTGCCCAAATATTGATTCGCCCGTCGCATCTGCTAAGAAGAGACGTCGAATGCTCCGTAGATCGACGGAGCATCATATCGATTGTGTCGCGGATTCGACGGGATAAACAATTTCTTGGGTGAATCAATTCTGCAGTCGATTCCCGCTCGAGCAGTGAAAGGACCCCCGACCCTTTGGGAGGGCTGGGGGGGGGGGCCAAACACATTAGGGATAGGGGGTCTGTTCTGCTAACGTGCCGAAACAAGCTGCCCCGATCTGTCATCCCTAATGCGCAGACGGGGCCCGAAGTGCGGACACGTCTTCACTGTGCTATCAGGGTTGGGGCTCTCTACTTCTCGAGGAATGGCTGCCCGTGCCGAACACAAACTAACAGCTCCCCGTCGGAGCGGCGGCAGGGGCAGGAAGAGGCCTGCCGCTCCTCGAGAGAAGCCGCACCCCGATCTGTGGACGCCGCGGTCGCCGCGGCGACCTCCAAAATCGACCAGGAGACTTGCTTCGGGGCCAGACCTCTCCTCCTCTCGGTGCTCATGGCCCTCCTCCCCCGCCTCCTCCTCCTCCTCCTCCTCCTCCTCCTTTCCCCCTCCTCCTCTCCTCTCCCCCTCCTCGGTGCTCCTCGCCCCCCTCCTCTCCCCCTCCTCCCTTCGACCACCCCCCCTCCTCGGGCTGCTCCTCGCCCTGGTCCCCGTCGGTCGCTGCTGCAGCCCTCCTCCTCCTCCTCCTCCTCCTCCTCCTCCTCCTCCTCCTCCTCCTCCTCCTCCTCGGTTCTCGGGGGGGGGAAGGGGGGGCGGGGGCGTGTTCTTCACCTCGTGGAGGGCATCTCGCTCCCGGCTGCGTGCTGCGCCTCGTCGAGAGCGTCCAGGGGGTGGCGGAACCGTGCTGATCAGCCGCCAGAGGCCTGGGCTACAGTCGGGGCGTTGACCTGAGGAACCCTAAATAAGGAACGAGGCCCCTTTTTTCCATAAGTTAAACTTCGTTTTCCTATCGAAAACATAAGGAAAACCTGAGGCAAGCTGCGAAACACTTAAGGAACGCGGAGCCCCTCCCCAACCAAAAGGGTTCCTTCTTCAGGGCCCCGACTGTATGGACCGAAGACCTGACATCCTCGCGTCGCGTGAGAGTCACAGCGGGAGGCTTTTCACAATGCGGGGTTTCTGGGGCGGGGGGCCCTTGCCAGGCCGCGGGACCGTGGAGCAACTTCTCAGGATGACGGGTTGGTCCCCGGGACGGGGTCCGGACCTCTGGGGAGCCACGCTGTGAAAAAGTCACATGGATCAAATGCAAGGGGCGCGGCTATCAGAAAGGACTACCTCGCAACTCTCCGACAAAGGCGGTATCCCCCAGCAGTCCATCGAGAGCCGCAACCCGAAACGAAACGGGGAATGGCACGCGGAAGGCCTGAAAGAAGCTGAGGCCGATAGCGCGGGTTCCTCTCCCGTGCCAGGTAGAATGCGACGGCGGGGGGCAGGCAAGGAGAGGCCAGCTTTTCCCTGAGCCTTCCAGCTAGATCACCAGGGACAGTGGGCAGTCCAGCAAAACCCCGACGAGGAGGAGTGAACAACGGGCCAGCAATGGGAGCACGGCCAGAAGAAGGAGCAAGGCGATCCAAGAAGAGAGAACCGAAAACTTAAACAGCACAACGAAAACGAGACAACCAGCGCGGCACAACCAGAACACAGGCGGAAGATGAGGAGGATGAGGAGGAGCGCAGAAGGGGGGAACCGCCCCCTGCGACTTCAGCACAGGGAACATCATCAGGGTCCCGAGCGGGTGGAACGAAGAAGTCGGTGTGGGGTGCGGGGGGGCAAAGCGAAACTGATGGTGGGCACGAGGGACTTCGCTTCCACGGCATGTGGCCGCTCGGCATGTGGCTGCTGGCGCTCGTGTCCCCGCGTGGTGGCCTCATGCCCTCGACTTGGTGCCCGTCCCGTCGAGGGCCAAGGCCAGGAAGGACGAGGTGGACGCTGCAGGAGGGGCAAACGCAATTCTCGAGGCAAACGGCGTAATCGGGAGTGGAGGAGGAGGAGGAGGAGGAGGAGGAGGAGGAGGAGGAGGAGGAGGAGGGAGGGGGAGGGGAGATGGGGAGGGGGAGGGGGAGGGGGATGGGGTGGACGGGAGGAGGAGGAGGGAGAGGAGGAGTAGGAGGAGGGGAAGGATGGGAGGAGGAGAGTGGAATGATGAGAGGGGAGGAGAGACAGTGGTGAAGGGGTACAAACATGGGTGGCGGTGCAAACCGTGTGCAAGGCGGACAGGGCGAACAATGAACACACAAAAACAAAAAACAACAACAACAACAACAACAGGAACAAAAGACAACAACGAACCAACAGAACAACAACAACAACAACAACAACACAACAACAACAACACAACAAAACGAACAACAAGCAAACACACAACAACCAGAACAACAACAAACAACAACGAACAACAACAAACAACAACAACAACAACAACAACAACAACAACAACAACAACAACAACAACAACAACAACAACAACAAACAACAACAAACAACAACAACAACAACAACAACAACAAACAACAACAACAACAACAACAACAACAACAACAACAACAACAACAACACCAACAACAACAACAACACCAACAACAACAACAACAAAAGCTCGGCCTGGGCCGAGCTCGGCCTGGGCCGAGTAGTTCCGCCTGGCCGGGCTTCGCCTGCGCCGAGTTCGGCCCGGGCCGAGCTTCGCGTGGCCGAGTTTCGCCTGGGCCGAGTGTTGCCCCGGGCCGAGTGTCGCCCTGGGCCGACACTTGCCTGGCCGAGCTTCGGGGGCTGCTGCCCAGCGCGTGGCGGGCGGACTTCCCAAGAACGCCCCCCCTCGAGGCCGTGGGGCGCGCGGCCTCCGATGGGGCCGACCCCATCCCGAGAGAAGGCCTCTCGGGTGGCCGCCCCCCGCAGCGCCGCGGGCGTGCGCCGCGGGCTCGCGCGGCGATCTCCGCGCACGCCCGGGGCGGGGCCCCGACCGCCACCCCCGGAGGCAGCTCTTCGCCCCGGCTCCGCTGCCGATGGCCCCCCTCTCGGGCCGGGTGAAAGGGGGGGATGGCAAGGGGGGGGGGGGTGAGAATCAGCTCGCGTAGCTTGTTTTCCCGGCGCCGCCTGGCGCCGGGAGGCGCCCATGTTTTGGGCGCCCGAAATGGGTACGGAAAAAATGGGTACAGTGCCCAACAACAACTGTTGTCCCAAACCAACAGCGGCCGCTGTTGGGCAGGCGGCCTTCTGCCTCGAATGGACACAGGCCGCGGCGGCGTGGACAGCGAATCCTGTTCAAAATGAACAGGAACTGCTGTTGGGCATTGCACCCCTTCTTTCCGTACCCCTTTTACGGCGTCCAGACGTGTATCGAGGAATGGGCCCCTCGGTGGGGCCGGAACCAGCTGCACGCAGCAGATTTCGAAGCCCCCCCCCTTTCCCTATCCCCCCCGTTCGTCTGGCCCGGCCCTCGGAGCCGCCCGACAGAAGGCCCCAGGAAGCCGACGACGAGGACGAGCGCGGGGGCCGGAGAAGATCGGATCCTCGGAGGCCTGGGGAGGCGCTGGACGAAGCCAGGCTGGGGACAACTTCGGGCGGGGATCCGTCGAGGACCTCCGAGATCCGGCGGCCCGGGAAGATTGTCTCGGGCGCCGCGGCCTTCTCGGAGCAGTCTGGGACGCTTCGAGAGCATCTCGGAACGCTCTGGAGCGGATTTGCCCTCGTGCCAGCCCCGTCCAACACGCCCTCTCTCTGCCCCCGCGCGCCGGCGCAGCTTCCGCCTCCGCCTGCGTGGGCCTCGGACGTGTGAACCCGACCGCTGCAGCTCAGATGTCGGAAACGCCGGCCGGTGCTCAGAATTCGCAGGATGCCTGCAGCCGTGTGGACCCCATGCAGCGGGGGCGCCCGATACCCCCCCTCAGCGCCGACTGGACCCGCATGAGTAGGGTTCGCACATGGTCGCAGAGCGAGTTGAGGAAATGCATCCTGGACCTCAGGGCCTTCCCCTGATGGGACCAGCCTGCCGTCATCCACCTCTTTGACGGTCCCGGGGCCCAGGGAGGGCCCGGGGCTCATGTCCATCAAGACGTCGCTCCTTCGTGGCGACCTGCGGAACGAGGGGCCTCATCGGGCCTCCCGACCCGGATTGACCCTTGACCCAGCCCAGACATCCCACGAAATGATGCTTTCAATGAGCGAGCCCAAGGAAATCCCGGCCTCTTCCCCCTGGGCCCCTGCCGGCTGAGACTCAGGAAAACCTGCCGGCTGACAAATTTCAAGTCGTCGGGGATCCGGGACCCCTGACCTCGACCTTCCAGAGTTCTCAAACATTCAGACCTACAGACCTTTCTGGATCGCTCAGAACCTCGACAGGAATGTAGACGTCAAGGTCCTGTGGTGCTATACTTCGGTCGGGCGTGTCCTCCTACAGGCGGATTTTGGACGAAACATAAAAAATATTAAACACATGTTCCAACATACTCAAAATGGTGAACAGATCGTCCCCAGACTATGTTTTGACTATATTTGAATACGTTCCTCCTGCAGAGAGACACGCCCGACTTATGATGCTATACTTACCTTTTAGCCCTCCTGGCAGGTAAAGGAGCAGCCCCCCCGCCCGCGCCCCGGCCCCATGACCACCGCGCGCCGCCCGAGAGACGCCGGCCGAGCCGCGGCGGCGCCGCTCCTCGCCCGCGGCCGCGTAGCTCGACCTGGCCTCGTCCTCCCCGACCGTCATGCCGCCCTTCAGCATCAGAGGCTTCGCTTCCTCCGGCCGGTGGGCGCCGGCAGGACAAAGCTGGGCCCTCGGGCGCTCGATGGACGCCAGGGCCCCTCGCGCCGTGAACGGCTCACGACGGAAGGCTACTGTCGGCGGCGAGCGAGGGAGAGGGAAGGGAGAAGGGAGACGGAGAAGGCCGTCTCAGAAGGCGGCGGGGCTTTCTTCTGAGAGGTCTCTGCGTCTCTGGGGATGGCCCTAAACCCTTCCGAGCCTTCAGAGAAGGTCCGGCCCCTCTCACTTCTCCCCCGGGCTCGCCGCCGACTTTTCAGGAGGGGAAACAACACACAGACACAATGAATCGTCGATTCCCTAGAAAATATGGGGAAACATGGGAAGCTGGGGGGAAGACAAAAACCCAGAAAATATTGGAAAAGATTGGGAATCCTGTCAGCTGTGTGTATTTATTTGTGTGTCCCAGGGCCCCTTCAATTTTGGCAATCAATGCTCTGTCTTTGGGTACCCTCGCTGGGCCCCGGGGCCGCATATAAACGACTCAGGATGACAAGCCAGTCCAATAGAGGCCTCCAAATGGAGTCCGAGCAGATGAGGTCATAAGATTGCGCCCCATCGCCGATGCATCGGGGAAGCATCGACGATGCATCGGTGACGTCGGCGATGCATCGGCGCCGTCGGCGTGGAGAGAGTCGCGCTCCACATCGAGCCGCATCGCCGATGCATAGGCAATGCGGCGCGATCCTCCGACCCCGCCGAATTACTCGGGCCATGTCTGGGAGGTTTATAGCAAGACAAAATACGGCGTGGGGCGCCTGGGGATGCACGGTTTCCCCTGGGGCCGTAGGCGACCCGAGGAGGAGTGCACGTTCACCGATGCTTCCGCTTCCTCCACGCATTGCACGGGGACAATACATGCATCGTCACCGACGCCAGCTCTCCCCGACACACAGTGCACAGGGGCCTCGAAGGGTACGCAGCTTGATCACGCACCGAAGCGCTAGAAATCCAGGGCGCCCTGGGCACCCAGATCGAGGTGGCCACGTGTGGGCGAGGGAAGGCGGCCAGGAGGGCGTCGCAGAACTGCACAGGCGACAGGACTTACAACTCCAGCGATGGCCTCGCCCGACCCCGCCACTGTGCTTCCAGAAGTGCTTGGAGCCACCACTCGCGGGCAGACGAGGACCGGAAGCAGGACTCGCCATGAGAAGGCGTGTGCAACACTGGCGCGGCCAGCTGCGACCACACCGCCGACGGCTTCATTGATGCGAGGGCGTCGCCCGTCACGCATCCGACTCAGGCGACATCACGTGTCCGACTCAGGCGAGACCGAGTGCCCGGGGGCAGTGGGTGGGCCCGTGTGCTGTGACCGCAATCCATCTGCAGCAGTCTGGGAATAACGTCGACAGCGAGCGCAGGAGCTTACATCATTCAACAGCGACGAAGATTCCCTCCACCGAAGGGGTTGCTGCAAGGGCAGTGCATCAGCTGGCAGCTGGATCTTGGAACTACTACTAGATCAATAGTGAGAACATCGGAACCATCCAACAGATGTGTCCCAGAAATGCTGATGCAAGGCTCCTTCAAACACCCCTGAGACGAGGAGAGGAGCGGTTGAAGCAGGATGGGGCATGTCCTCAACATGGGACTGCCGAACATAGCTGGGCGCGTCCATGAGAATCCGCGCAACACAATGGCCAAACTACCAGGCTTGATGGATGACTAGGGGTGGAGAGGCAGAAGGGGGGGGTGGGGAGAGGATGAGGGGGGAGGGCCAGGGAGAGAGGGAGGGGTAAGGAGGAAGGAGGAAGGAAGACGAGATGTCACATCAATGCGGCTTCTCGTGACGGCAACTGTCCAGCGGGAATGTCCTGGCGTGCATCCCGTTCCACCAACTCCACGCGCGATCCACAATCGTCGACCTTGCCTCCGCACCCACTCCTGCTCCGCAATTTGCTGATTTCCCTGGTCCTCCTCACCTTGTTTGGTCGGTATGTCTACTTTTACTGACGGAGAAAAGTGCGCGATCACATGTCGCCACACACTTGGGCCTCAACCGCGGGGCGGATCAAGAGGTCTCCAGGTAAGTCTCGTCCTTATCATCTTGACCCCACTCTCGCTCATCTTCCTCGTCGCCGCCCTCCTCCGTCTCTCCCTCCTGCTCCCGTTGTTCCTCCTCCTTCTGACCATTCGCTTCCACATCCGCCTGCGTCTCCTTTCTACGCTTCCACCTTGCCATCCTCCTCTTACTGAAGCTGCTGCTACATCAGTACTAACGTCAACATCAAGATCAACATCGGCGTCGGCATCTGTTGCTGCTGCCGCCGCCCAATGTATCTCCCCCTGCTCCTGGTCCACCCCTTCGTCTTCGTCCCCGTCCTTGCCCCTGACTTGCTCCCATCCTTCTCCTCCATCTCCTCCTGTTCAGCAGATTCCCCGAAAACATGTTGCACTTCTATTCTACGGAACTGGGCCGTGTCTTTGGTCCGGCTGTTGTGTGGCCGCCGTCGCAGCCCCGTCGCCGACTCGTCGCCGCCTCAGACTGCACACCAAAGGTTGCACCGCATAGATGGCGCCACAAAGATTGCACCGCATAGGATGCAACACACAGATTGCTCCACACATAGCTTGCACCACATAGGTTGCGCCACATAGAGTACACGACATAGTGCACAACAAATATTGCACCACGTACGAGTGCACAGCATCGGTTGCACCACGTAGGCGGCACCATATAGCTTGCACTCAATAGCTTGTACAACATAGCTTGCACAACATGTATGGCACTACGAGGGTTGCACCACTCAGACTGCACCACATAGCTTGCACAGCATACGTTGAACCGTACAGGTTACACCACAATGCGTGCAAAACCTACACTTACCACATCGAGTGCACAACACACCTAACACCACAGACATGGCACCACAGAGAGTTCACCACATATGTATGCATATGTATATATGAATACATATATATATGTATATATATACATATATATATGTATATATATAGTTCACGACATAGATTTCACCGCGTATGTTACACCACGTAGGCTGCATCACATAGTTTGCACACCATCTACTGAATCATATCGATTGCATTAGATGGATCGCACAACAGACACTACACCACATACGAGGGCCATACATAGATTGCACCACATGAGTTCCATCACGTGGATTGTACCATATATGTTGCACAACACACATTGCACAACACTTTTTGGGGTCCACGCTGGCGAACACATTTACGCGTAAATCCTCGCATCGTCGTCCTACCACATTCTCCCTTCTCCTGCTCCTACACCGTGTGGGGCAACATCTGGCTCGTGATCGGAACCTCCGCGAGCACTTCGCATTGACTGCTGGCGAGGGTTGTGGAGGGTGACCATATGTGTCCGATGTGCGTTGCCCCGACACCTCTGAAAACAAAAATCGTTGCAAATGCACGTGCCATGCAAAATGTTGACCACCCGGGGAAGAATAAGAGGGTGAGTGAACCACATTGAACTATGATGTAGGCCCACAAAGGTAGCCTTAATCCAGTGGAGGAAGTGCTCGAGAGGACTGAGCTGCATGATCTTCAAAGCCATCTGGCAGGATGCCCTCATCATTGTAGCGCGTAGTTGGAGAGTCGGAGCCTGAGCGAACACACTTTGCCCTGTCCTTGACGTGACGGGCGGGGGTCGGCATATTGCCCGGCGTGTGCTTCGATATGCACTGACGCAATTTGTGCGCGTCGCGCACATGATGCGGCCATGGCAAGTGTCGCACCCCGTGTACGTGGCGCATCCAGTGCACAGGGGCGCCCGGCACGCTGGGACCCTGGGGCACCTGGCACGCAGGGCCGCCCAGCGAGCGTCACACACCTGGTGCCTGTATTGGTCCCCAATGGGTGTCCATTTGATGGAGGCCGCTCGCTGCCTTGGCTGAGTCGCAAGGGCGGGTGGGAGTGAGCGCGACAGCTTGTGGCGCTCCCGTTGGGAACGCGCCGCCCCCCACCCAATAACCACCTTCCCTGATTCTCGAAGGAGTGCGGCCTCGGGCCATTCGAGGGTTCAAGAATTCCCAAGACGTCTCAAAGACGATACAAGGTAGCCGATGACGTCCTCTAAAGTGACAACACGGGCCAACTAGCGCTCCTACAGGGCCACAGAACACGATCTCGACGGCTCCGACGGCGGGGGGGGGGGGCAGGCTGCTCCCGCCGAGTTTCGGTTTGACTGCTGTCCCCTCTGTGTTCCAGCGTTTGCTCCGATACTTCCCATCTTTTCGGGTTGGGCTGGCGAGGATACTTTCTTGATCGCGACCGCGGTGAGAAGGTCGGGCGGCGTAAAGGTACGAAGCGCAGATACAGCGGCCCAACTTAGCGCACAGGAAAAAGGAGGCGAAAAGAGGAGGATAACGAACACGGAAGACGAAGACCAAACGGGAGGGGGTAAACAGGAGGCGAGCCTCACTGCCGCTCACGGGACGGCGCACACCTGGAAGAGCTTCCGGGCGAAGTGCAGTACCAAAATTGTGTAATTCGAGGGCGGCTCCGCGACAACGTAGAAGACCTCCAGCGAGACGAGCAGCGAGCCCACAGCTGGCGAGGATACGCGAAGAGTCAAGAACATGTTTGATGGTCCTGGGTCCTGGGGCCCGAATGGCCAACGGACGCGCTCTTCGGAACGGACGTCCCCAGATGCCGTCGGCCTCTCCAAGGCCTCCTGGGGCGGCCTCTCGAGCTCCCCCGAGCGGCCTCCAGAGGTCGTCCGAGGGCCTCAGAAAGACCCGACACGTCTCAGAACCTGGTCCCTGGTGGTCTCCAGAAGCCCCTGGAGGTTCCCAGCGAGCCTATGGAGGCTCCAGACAAGAGGTCCGACACGCCCACGATCCACACGCCTCGAAGCTCCGGACATCGAACCTCCCGCGAGGGACCCCCGCGTCCGCGAACCTCCGCGACCGTCCAGCCTCGATCATCGAAGCTCGAATCGTATCTCCTCGATGCTCCTGGGTCGGACGAAGCGGGGGCGGGGGGGGGAAAAGGGGAAGGGGTTAGCGAACCAGCTCACGGAGCTGGCTTACACGGCGCTGCCTCCCGCCGCCCCGGGCGCCGACGCATCGAGGGAGGCCCTCGGCGGCGGGGCCGACACCGGCTGCACGCGGCAAATTTCGTGGCCCCCCTTTCCCCAATCCCCGACCCGATCCTCCAACCTGGTCGGGGGCGCGCAAACATGGATCAGCCATCCGTGGATTTGGCACGCGGTCGCCAAATCCATGGATCGGAGCTGGTGCCGCCCCCAGAATGCAGCGGGTACCGCCTTGTTCGGCGGCGGAAATCCGCGATCCCCCATGGAAACGGGACCCGTCGCTAATCCACGCCTCCTGGATCCATGTTTGCGATCGCCCGACCTGGGACCTCCCGTGACGGACAGCTAGTGGGACAGTTCTCCACCGCCACTACCGTAGGTAGGACGGGGGAGAAGGGAGACTGAGGAGCTCCTCCTCCTGCTCCTCCTCCTCCTCCTCCTCCCCCTCCTCCTGCTCCCTCTCCTGCCTCTGGTAGGGGTGGTGGAACAGCGGCCCGTCAACAGCACCCGTGCCGGCCCAGGACGCGTCCTCCACAGTGCCCGCGGCGGCGGCGCCCGCCGCCCCCAGCGCCGCTCCGTAGGAAGCCTTGACGGCGTCCATCTTCACCGTCTCGGTGTCTGGGCCTTGTTGGGGGGATGCCACCCTCGCCCTCCTCGTCCTCCTCCTCCTCCTTCCCCACGCCCTCCTCCTCGTGCCCCCCGTTCCCCGTGCCCTCCTTCTCCTCCGAGTGGGCGAGTCGTGGCGGCTGTTGTGGGCAGCCACGTTGTCCACTTGGCTTCTCCTAGCGTCCGATGAGAGGGCGCGCACGTGTGGAACGAGGCATGCATTCCTCTGGCCTCTCCTGCCCCCCCCCCCCCGCGTTGCGAACGACACCACGGCGGGAGGCCTTGGGCCACGTTCTCCCTCTGCGGGGCCCCAGGGACGGGCACCTGTCGCGTCGTTTTCGCGTTTCGCTTCCACCATACAAGTGGCAGCATGTACCTTCGACGCCGTGGCCTGCGCTGCGAACCAGTCACTGTCATCTGCGCTGCGAGCCACAGATGCCGCTGCAATGATACGCACGCTACTGCGCTTGGGGGGTAAACTGCCCTCAACAGGGGTCAAACGGAAACTGTTTAGAATGAAGGGCGGGACCCGGCCAGACATCCTCCGATCTGCATGTTTTCATCCGCGGCTCAAGGGCGTCCGACCGCTTCCCCGCGGGTATCTGCTCGCCGCACGTCCGTCTTGATGGCCCGGGGGGCCCAGAAGCCGAGATCGGCACAGAACCTCATCGGGATTGAAAACATGCCGTTGCAAGACAACCCGGCAGCAAAGCACGGCCAGATGCACCAAAGTCGGCGGTGAACAAACCTTAGTAAACCACCCTTTAGTGGAAACGGCCTAGGACCGAAACCGACGGACCTAGACCCGCAAAAATGACGACCGCGACGCCCTCTCGGGAACCGAAAACAGCCAATTCGCTAATCGACGCGTCAGGGTAGGAAGTCTGTCAACCTCCGACAAAAAAGGGCACCTGTTTTACAGAAGATGGTGGCCGTCTGGACCAAAAACGTAGTCGGCATGGACGCGAGAGCACGACTCCCGAATCGAATGCGAGACGGCCTCCGGCGAAACGGCCGCCAGACTGGACGAAGCTCGGGCGGGCGGTCCTGGGTTCCCCGTCCCCCCTCCCGCCGTCGCTCGGACGTCCATTCCCCGTGCATGTTTGGTTTCGCGCGTGTTTTTGTTGGCCCGATGGTCGAGGATGCTCCTCGAAGGTGCTCGCCGAGAAAAACAAATGCACACGTCTAAGCGATGCCAGGCGCCCTGTGGGACTCTTCTGCGGTGCCCTGCTGCATCCTGTAGAACCCTCGGCGAAACGCCAGTACGAGGGGCAACGGTAGGGGGGGGATAGGCACAAGGGGGGATGCATCGACCTGGAATCGGCGGTACATCGTCGATAGATCGGCGATAAGCGCCCGGTAGTGAATCCGCACCTGCCTGGGCGGGGTGGGGCCATCGGGCTCTCAGATCGGCGAGCAATGGGCGATTGGGGGTCGATGCATCCCCCCCGATGCCTATCCCCCCCCCATCGCTGCCCCCGACCTGTGGGGAGAAATCCCATCGTCGAAACTGTGGGGAGGTGGGCCAGAGCTTCGGGGGCCCACGCTGCCACAGAAGTCACGACGTCAAGGGCCCGGGTGGAGCCGCCTCGCCTCGAGGCCCCGGTCCGGAGCCCCCCACCGGAGGCCTCCAGAGACCTTCTGGGGGCCTGGACCCTTGTGGGAGGCCTGGGGGGTCCCGTCCTCGTCCTCCTCCTCCTCCTCCTCCTTCTTCTTCCTCAACCGCATTCTGCCAGCGGTCTCCTTGCCGCCGCGGGCCCGCCGAGCAGACACGGAAGGCTTTATTTCAAGGGTTTATGGGAATGTCCCCAGCGGTCTGCCAGCGACTCAGCGCCCCTCGCAGCTCGCCCATGGGACGCCCCGTGGCACGGGACATGCGGGAAAGACGCTGGACGCTCGCCGGGGGCTGCGCTCTCTTTTCGGGGCCTCCATCTGGCGGGGGGGGCATAGTCGCTAACGTGGGCAACACATGGGTGCCCACGCTAGAGCACCTGTTCCTATAAGTAACTCCTCCCTGTCGCGCCCCCAGGCGTGTCAGCAGGGCGGGCCGGGCGTTTCGCCTGAGACTTCCTCGCCACTTGTGATCCTAAAGCCGGATGCTCGCAACAGTCTCACTGGCGGAGGGCGGGTAACGTGTGGCGCTCGCCTCAGCGCCGCGCGCAGTCGTCATGAGGTTTGCAACCGCTTCGCGGGTGGACGGCGGTGCATTTTTTCCAAATGTGGCTCTCGCCTGAGCGCCGAGCGCAATCGTCTTAAACGTTTGCAGCGGTTTCTAAGATGGGGAGCGGTTTGTTTTCAACATGTGGCTCTAGCCTTAGCGTCACGCACAGTCTTCGTATAAAAGTTCACAGCAGCTTCAAATATTCGTATGGCTGAAGTCCCAGGAATCGCGCTCTGGCACGATTCAGGATTGTCAGGACGCAAATCGCCCTGATTCATGGTATTCTCAGGCCGCCACAGTCACGTTGAAGCGCGAAGGCCCAGAAATGATATGTTGGTTTCGTTGGGGGTTCTTAAACGGATGTCTCCCCACGCAGCACTTCCCGAAATGAAAACAAATTCTTGCAGGGACCAATGAGGAGGAACTTGGAATCAGGGTGTATTGTGACATCGTTGATGCGTCCTGGGCTTGCACTGGTCCTGCTGCTTCTGGTGCTGGCGCCTCCTCCTCCTCCTCCTCCTCGCGCCTCGCTCCTCGCTCCTCCTCCTCCTCCTCCACGTCGTCCTCCTCCCTTCTCCTCCCCTCCTCCTGCCCACCTCCTCCTCCTCCTCCTCCTCCTCCTCCTCCTCCTCCTTCTTGGCCTCCAGGGGGTGGGGCGAGACCTCGCCGCCACGGCTGGACGCGGCTCCGAAGACGGACCGAGCTGGTGCCTGGGAGGACTCGTTCCCCCCCCAGTGAGGCGTTACTTCAGAGGGTATCCCCCTTTCCTTGCGAAAGGACCTGTAGGTAAGGCGTTGTTAGTGAGAGGAGTTACACAGGGTTCCCCAGGTGCGAGTTGCCCAGTTGCCCGTTTGCTCATTGCAAGGCAAGGCAACCCAATGCCAAGCAATGCCAACCAACGCCAAGACATGCCAATCAATGCGAAGCAACGCTAACCCATACTAAGCAACGCCTAGCAATACAAATCAATTCCGTGCAATACACAAGCAATACCAAGCAATGTCACCCAATGTCAAGCAATGCCAAGCAACGTCGATCAATGCAAAGCAATGCTGGGCAATGCCAAACAATGCACAAGCAATGCCAAGCATCGCAAAAGAACGCAACGCCAATGCCAAGCCACGCTAAGCCCATACCAATGCAATGCACTGCCAAAGCAATTTCAAACAACGCCAAGCAGAACCAAGCACTGCCAAACACTACCAAGTAATGCCAATCAGCGCCACTCAATGCCAACAAGTGCCAAACCATGCCGAGCAATTCCGAACATCGCATTGTTTTGCACTGCTTTGCTTTGCTGAGGACTGATTTCAATTGCTGGGGAAAGACGAAGCCACTAGTTAGGGTCGCGCTGGTTTCATGAACGGATCTCGGCTGGAGAGATGAGGAGGAATAGGATAGGATAGTAGGGGGTGGAGGTGGAGAAACAGGAGGTGGAGGAGGGAGGAAAAGAGGGGCAGTGATGGAGGGGGAGCGGGGTAGGAAGGGAGAGATGGAGGAGCAGGGGCAAGGATGAGGGAGGCACCAGGGCTGGGCGGTCTAGGAGGAAGGTGGCCTGCTTCTGCAGTTTTGACGGATGAGGGAGTGAGCAAGGAGTGAGGAGGGAGGGGGCAGGAGTAGGTGGAGAGGTCCTCGCTTCCCCCCCCCCCCTATGCCTCCCTCCCTCCCCGTCCCTCTCCCCTCCCCACGCTGGGCATCCCGCCTCGTCAGCGCCAGAATGTTTCGCCTCCCTCCCTCCCATCCCACTCTCTCTCTCTCTCTCTCTCCCTCTCCCTATTCCTCTCCATCTCCCTCCCTCCCTCCATCCCTCTCTCTCTCTCTCTCTCCTCCCTCTTACACTTCCTGCCTCCCTCTGTCCCTGCGGATCTCCATCGATGACCGACCAGTCACGTCGCCGGCTGCAACATCAAATACCTCCCTTCGAGCGCGATTCCGATGACGGCTCCAAACACAATAATGAGAACACTTCTCGCACGCATTCCTCGGCCAACTTGCATCGCACCATGCGGGCGAACGGTGCAATCATCGCCTAAGGCGATCGATATCGGCCACCCCACGAACATCAGAGGCTACGTCGCTGAGGACATGACTCAGCATTTCTGGGTTCACCGACTCGGGGAGCTTCTTGTAGATGAACTGGTCCTTGTGGTATTTCATCTCCTCGTGATTGGCATGAAGGAAGGGGTCCCGACAGAACAGGCACTGAAGCCAAGGGCTTTCCCGAGATCTATCTTCTATCCTGATTCGTCTTTTGGACGGCCCTGGGGCCCAGGAAGGGCCCAGGGAAGCCGAAACCCTTTGCGTCCCTCCAAAAAACTCAGGACCCTGTCTCCCTCGAGATCCCCTGTTTCCCCCCGCAGCCAGGAGGGCAGGGAGCAGGCGGAGCGTCGGGAGAGAGGGGGCGTGAAACAATGCCGACTTCACGTGTTCTGATGCGGAGGGTACTCCAGCAGCCGGCCACTGGCAGGCCTGCACTGCCTGGGGCGGGAGGGCAGGGCAGGCAGGGAGAACCGGGCGGACGACGACGGACGCGAGGACCCCCCTTCTCCCCCGTGGCGACGGAGGCCCACCACCCCGATCCTGCGGGGACAGCAGGCGGCGACAGCCACATCGAGGGCACACCCTGGGTCATGTCTTGCGCATGCCAAGCAGCGTCGGAAGACCGGAACCAGCTTCGTACTGGCTGTGGTCGATCTGGCGCCCCGAGACGGCCAAGGCGACCACAACCACCACCAGCGTGTTCATGCCGAGGCCGGTGGGCTCAATGTTCTTGTAACATTAACCGGGCCAGAAATGCTCGAATAACATTTCGCGCAAACCACAAAAGGCTCTGAGAACATTCTTGGTAGGCCTAAACGGTGGGGGCATTGGATAAGGAACCCTTAGATGAGGAATCCAGGGTCTGGAGGCCGGTGGAACTCCAAGTGAGGCTTGGCCACGGATATCACCGCCGCCATCAAATAAGGAATCCTTCAGGGTCTTCAGCCTCCTGGGCACATTCCTGAATCAACGCCCCCACCGTAGGCGAGCCAGGACGCTTCGCCACTGCTTGCCTCCCGGGCCCCGACGCCGCTGCCCCGCCGGCCCGAGAGAGGAGGGGCGGTCACAGCGCTCCGCCGACCGAGCGAGAGCCCGCCGGGCGCCGCTCGGCCCGCCGAGCGACCGAGCGAGCTGCTGCCCCCGCGGGACGAGCCCCGCCCCGCCCCTGGCCGCGGCTGTGCAGCGCTGGCCCTGGCTCCCTGTGGGTGTGGCCGCGGCTGCGCGGCCGCGGCCGCAGCTGCGGCTGCGCGGCCTCGGCTGCGGCTGCGGCGGCGCGGCCTCGGCTGCGGCTGCAGCGGCGCGGCTTCGGCTGCGGCCGCGTTGCTGCGGCTGCGCGGCGAAGAGCGGTGAGTCGGCCAAGGAGGAGGCCCAGGACGCAGCCCAGGCTCGGGGCCACTGGGTTCCTTAACGTGGCCCAGGATTGGGCCTAGGGACGAGGCCCAGATCAGAGGCCACTGGATTATCCTTCATCAGCCCAGGATGCGGTCCAAGCTCAAGCCAAGATTAGGGGCCTTTCTGGGGCCCTTCAGCAGCCCAGCATCAGGCCCAGGACTGAGCCCAGATTCGGGGCCACTGGGGTCCTGAATGACCCCCAGGATTAAGCCCAAAATTCGCCCAGGACTGAAGGCGTCCGAATCCCGCCGCCGATCACCGCAAGGCCGTAGATGACTGGATCCCTTGTGCTATTGTATTGGGCCGACCGAGCAGAGGCGCAACCCCCCCAGGCATCCGACACCGTGGCTTCTTCATTGCGTGGCCCCGCAGAGGTCTGGACCCCTTCGCGGGGATCGCTTCTCATCCCGAGTCGTGCTGTTGGCGGTCCCGGGGGCCTGGCAAGGCCCCCGGAAGCCGCAAATTGCCCAAAGTCGCGTCGCGACTGCATCCCAACGCGAGGATGTCGGGCTTTCGCGCCATCATTCGGGCCTCCAGCGGCTGATCCAGACGATCCGGGCACGCCTCGAACACTATCAGCGAGGCGCAGCTGCTGGAGCGCATCTAGCCTCCAAGAAGCGACGACAGCGCCCTCTAACCCCCTAGAATCGAGGAGAGGGGGGCTGAGGAGGTGGAGGGCTGCAGAGGAGGGCTGCAGCAACGACCGACACCGACACAGAGCAGTGGGGGCTGCCTGCAAGGCATGCAAATCGAGCCTGCCGATGCCGCGCGCCAGCGTCGGCGCGGCGTCACCGCACATCGATCTGATCGTGGGCAGCATGACTTGCGGGCGGTGCTGGGACCTGGCCTGGCCTGCCACAATCACCAGTGTCGGTCGCTTCTGCAGCCCTACTCTGCAGCTCTCCACCTCCTCAGCCTCGGTTCTCGGAGGTTTTCTGACACTTTTCGTGGCTTCGTCGAGCTCTTCTCGCTTCCCGTTGCCTTGCAGCAGCTGCGCCTCGCCGAGTGCGTTGCGGGGTGCCCAAATCGTCCCGATCAGCCGCCGGAGGCCCGAATTATGGCCTGAACGCCTGACAGCCCGGCTGCTGTCGCACAAAAACCACGGCGGGAAGTTTTGAAACTGTTCGGCCTCGGGGAGGGCCCTTGCTAGGCCCCGGGACCGTCAAAGGACTACTCGGGATGGAAGACCCATCCCCAGGAAAGGGTGCAGACCTCTGCGAAGCCACCATGGGAACAAACCTGCGACGTCGGATGACGTCGGATGTCTGGGCCTGCCACGCACGCTGCAGATCACCAGTTCCAGCGGCGCCGAGTCTGGCCGCGACGAGGGCTCCGCTTGCAGCGCTGCTAGGAGAAAGTCTGCACGAGAGGCGCGGTGGTCGTCGAGGAGAGGCGCCCCCTCGCCCGGACGAGGGACCTCCCGGGGGGGACCCACGAAGCGCAAGCACGCAGCCAATCCAGCCGCGCAGGCTTGGCAGTCGTGAGCAGGTAGGCGTTGCTGAGCCTCCTCCTCCTCCTCCTCCTCCTCCTCCATCCCTCTCCTCCTCCTCCTCCTCCACCTCCTCCGCCTCCTCCTCCTCCTCCTCCTCCTCCTCCTCCTCCTCCTCCTCCCTCTCCTCCTCCTCCTCCTCCTCCTCCTCCTCCCTCCTCCTCCTCCTCCTCCTCCTCCTCCTCCTCCTCCTCCTCCTCCCTCCTCCTCCTCCATCATCCTCCGGGCGGGTGGTACTGTCGGGGGGAGCAAAAAGGGGGAACAGCAAAGGGTAGGGTAGAGAATCAGCTCACGTGGCTGATTTTCCCAGTATCGACGAATGGGCCCGGTGGCGGGGCCGAAGCCAGCTCCATGCAGCAGATTTCGTGACCCCTCTTTTCCCTATCCCCCCCTTTCGTTCAGTCCGATACTTGGGGTGGCCTACAGCAGGAGCTTGACCACAGAGAGCCTTCCACGAGAAGCCCAACCCTGAGACTCCAGGACGTCCATTGGTCTTGGGTGTGGAAACGTCGCGCCTTCCATATCAAAGCCATCGCAACTCAAGAAACCGAGGGCACCCTGGAGACAAGCAGGGCGTTTTTTCCCAACCATCCTGTGGTGTTGGGTCCTCGTTTTGAAGAGACGGTCCCCGCGTTCTCCTCTTCTCGTGCCCCCCCCCCTCCTCCCTACCATCCGCATGCGTCCCGCACACCCAGTACAGCTCTTCGTGGCCTCATAGGGAGCTCCACCGAAGGTCCCATTGCTACCGTCCGCATGCGTCCCGCACACCCAGTACAGCGCTTCGTGGCCCCATAGGGAGCCCCACCGAAGGTCCCAGTGCTACCGTCCGCATGCGTTTCGCACACCCAATACAACGTTTCGTGGCCCCTTAGGGAGCCCCACCAAAGGTCCCAGCGCTACCGTCCGCGTGCGTCCCGCACACCCAGTACAGCGTTTCGTGGCCCTCCTCCCCCTGAGCCCTGCATTTTAACCCACCCAGTACATCGTTTCGTGGCCCCATAAGGAGCCCAACCGAAGGTCCCAGTGCTACCGTCCGCTTGCGTCCCGCACACCCAGTACAGCGTTTCGTGGCCCTCCTCCCCCTCCTCCCTGCGTTTCACCCACCCAGTACAGCGTGTCATGGCCCCATAGGGAGTTCCACCGAAGGCCCCAGTGCTACCGTCCGCATGCGTCCCGGAAGCCCAATTTGGCATTTTCGCCCACCCAATGCAGCGTTTCGTGGCCCCATACAGGGCTCCACCCAAGGCCCCAGTGCCACCGTCCGCATGCGTCCGGGAAATGTAATTTGGCATTTTCACCAGCGCAGTGCAGCGCTTCGTGGCCCCAGAAGGGGGTTCCACCGAAGCCCCAGTGGGACCGTCCGCATGCGTCCCGGTAACCCAATTTGGCATTCACTCAGTAGAGCACTTCGTGGCCCCATAGGGAGCTCCACCCGAGCCCTCAGTGGGACCGTCCGCATGCGTCCCGGAAACCCAATTCGGCACACCGCCAACACAGTACAGCGTTCCCCCCCGCCCAGTGCAGCGCGTCGTGGCCCCATAGGGAGCTTCACCGAAGCAGATATTCACGATTACGGTACCCACAACTGCATATGGTTGGGACCTTCACCAGGACGATTTGCATGGGCTTCCACGGAGGACAAGGGGGGGGAAGAAAAGTGCCCTAAATGGGGCCCGTTGGGGCCCCTTCGGGAGCCAGAGGGGGCCCGAAAGGGGCCCCCTTTAGGGCACCTCGAGGGCCTGCTTCTTGACCCCCTCCTCGGGGCACCCCCCCACTGCCACCCGCCCGAGAGAGAGCGCTCGGGGACTCTCAGAGGCCCCCCTCCCCCCCCGACTTCTCGGGAGCCCCTGCATGGCATCCAAGAGACAGGCCTTAAAAAAATTACACTACCGAGGAACCCCACATACTGATGTAAGGTCGCGCGTGTTCACGCCTGCTGTGCCTGGACGACCGTCACGAATAGCGGCCGCGGTGAAAGAGGGGCTGAGGGTCAACAGAACTGCCCAGATGCTCACCCGCATCACGCAGGCCACCGCCTGCCACCGCGGGAAGAGAGTGCGAAAGGCTGGGAAGACGCGGATGGACGTGCATATGTGCCAAAAGCTATGTGCACATACACATGCACACACATGTGTGTATACACATGGGCACACAAGAAGCGCACACACAGACACACACACACACAGACGCCAGAGCAATCCGTCGTATCAGTTTCAGCTCCTCATTGTCGTCCTTTTCTGGCGGGTCCTGTTTTATCCTTCGCCCAACCTCACCCTGTTCTTGATTATCTCGCTCTCTCTCTCTCTCTGTCTGTCTCCATCTCAATATCTTACACGTACACAACAAAGCGTCCCACCACAACAATCAACAAGAACGACGTAAACAACGAAACAATCGGAAGCCACGACAGGAAAGGGAACGTACGAAGCCGCTACAAAAGGACACAAGCGTAATCCCTCTCGCTGGGAAGAAGCAGCACAGCATAGCATAAACCAATACTAAACCGCCACAAAAGAAAACACACTCCATCTAACAGAAATAGCCCATACGTGATCATCACAAGACATACGTGACCATCACAAGAAAGTACCAGTTCAAACAACTTACACCAAAACAAATCGAGAGCTCGTAAGCAGAACGTGCATCATGCAACTGACAAAAAAAAACACGTCAATCCTTACACGAGCGAGCAATCGAACCGCTACTACAAGAAAATTGCTAGCAGCCGTTACCACATACGTCAAGCATTCAACAATAAAACAGAAAGCGAAAACACAACCATAACGTTTGGCTTCACATTGAACTGCGTTTCGTTACCAACACACTTCCCAAAAGGTCGCGCAGCGTCTAGCACCTCCCACTATATGCCAAGCATGAACTTGCTGTATCCATTCTAAGATTTTAGTTCCAAACAGCAAGCCACAGGGTTTGACGCCTTCCATATGAGCAAAGGTGTCGCGTTCACATGACTAACGTAATTCCCGCAGCGGATAAGAAAATGTTTGTCCCTACGAGAACCAAGTGTGAGGCGTCTCCGGCGTCACATGCACATGTTCTTACACGTCGGGCTCTCAAGCTAGGAGCCCCAAAACGGCTACACAATGATACGCTGCGCCTCCTCTATCACCAGTTCATGATGGTTCATTGAACGGCTGGTCCATCTGTTGTCTCGGCCCTGGCGACAGCATGTGGTTTCACCGAGCTTGCTGTTGTGATGCCTCACGACGTGTCGCCCGCTGGGTTGCGCTAGCTGGGGAAAACAGCCAGAAAAGCACACAACCCACTGAGCACACCAGGCTTCATGACATCCAACATCAGAAAACTCTGCCTGTCCACCAGACATTGCGTGAATATTCATGCACATATCCGCCACCGTGCCCTGAGGCATGGGAAGGACGGTTGTCTGGTTCCTGCGGGTTTCCCGAAGTGCGTACTGCCAATTTTCTTCAAGAGACCCACAACCCAGAGTCCCCAGCGCTCCTGAGCGTTCTTGGGCGCTCCCGGAGGTTCCCCGCGTGACTTTCCCCAGAGGCCAATCGCGCGCGTTGTTCGGGACATGCATATCCAACATGGCCTAAGATGGCCCAGAGGACCGTCCTGGAGCCCTCTTGGGCGCCTCCTGGGCCGTCCTGGAGGCGGCCCAAAAGGCCAACATCGTCAACATCCGTGCAAGTTTACATAGTTTTCGCATTACTGCCTTTGTGGTGTTCAGAGCGTCCAGGCATCAAAAGCAGCCCAGTAGCCGCCCAAGACCGCCCCAATGCCAAAGAGGCCCCTTAGACAGCGCCACGAAGGGCCCACAAGGGGGAAAACGAACTGACATTTGAAGCCCTCCGCCCCAAGACGGCCCCAAGATTCCCCAGAGGCCCCAAGAGGTACCCAAGAAGCCCAAATCAGGCCCAAAGAGGCCCACGAGACGCCCCCAAAATTGCCTCCAACAGGCTTCCGAGAGATCTTCCAATAGATCCTTACAAGCATCGAAGGGGCCTCTGACCGGAAAGCCAGGCACGGTGGCGGATTGGCCGAAGGCCGCTAAGATCCGCCGCCTCCTTGTGGCTTGCAACAGGAGTGAACGGCGTGCTGAAGTTTTGGTGGTCTCTAGTTCTTTTGACCTCCTACGGGGGCCACGGCCCCACCCGCTGGCCACCTGGCAAGCTCTTCAACATCCAGGGCCCGTTGCCCGAACCGCCCTCCAAGACGGCCAAGATATCCCCAGATGGCCTCCAAGATGGTCCCAGGACGCCTCCAAGACGGCCAAGAAGGCCCCGAGAGAGCCCCAAAGACAGCCGAAATATATCTCTCCAAGACGGCCCAAGATGACCTCCAGAGGGCCTAATCTTGCTTCCAGATGACCCAAGACGGCCCAAGAAACCCCAAAGAGGCCTCCCAGACGGCCTACGAAACCTACTAAAGGACCTGCAGGAATGCCCGAAGAGGTTACAATCAGTCATTCGGTTTGAAAGTTTTTGGCTGCTGCTGCGTGTCGGCCTTCCGACGGCCCACGACGGCCCACAGACACCCAAGATCGCCCCAAGGTCGCCGCAGAGGCTTTCGAGATGGCCCCTATGACGGCCCAAGAAGTCCCAAAGATGTCTCCAAGACGGCCCAAGATGCACCCAGGACGGCATAAGATGGCCTCAACACGGTCCAAGACGGCATAAGAAGCCCCCGAGAGGCCTCCCAGACTGGCCAAGAAGCATCCAAGAGGACATCGATGAAGGCTCGAAGGAAACCAAATCATTCATGCTCCGTAGGTGTTTGAAGGTGTTTGGCTGTTGCTGCGTGTCGGCAGTCCGACAGCCCAAGACGGCCCAAGACCCCGAACAGACCCAACAGACCTCCGATATTCCCACAGAGGCCTTGAGATGGCCCCACGATGGCCCAAGAACCCCCCCAGATGGCGCCAAGAGGGCCCAAGATGGCCTCCAAGACAGCCAAGATGACCTCCAAGACGGCCCAGATGCCCCAAGAGAGCCCAAGACGGCCGCAAGATGTCTACAAGACGGCCCAAGATGCACCCAAGACGGCATAAGATGGCGCCAAGATGACCCAAGACGCCCCCAAGAGGCCTCCAAGACAGCTCAGGAGGCCGCCAAAACGACATTATGGGAAGGCCCGAGGGGGCCAAAATGATTGAGTTTCTTATGTTGTTGGAGGTTCAGGGCTTTTCCTCTTTTTCGGCCATCCGACGGTCGAAGACGGCCCGATAGGCCTTCAAGAGGACCCCCAGGAAGGCCCGAAGAGGGCAAAATCATGGACTTGATCCCCGAAGGGTTGCCACAGCGGCTTGGGGAACACGCCGTCCACCGTCCAATGGATCGGCCGAGCTCTGGCCACAACGTGCGGCCACATAGGCGCGTCCAAAAAAGCAGGGCGGCGGCGACTCGCCGTAGGCGTCTTCGATACGTGTATGCATGTGTATGTATACTACGGGATAGCAGAAGTGTCGAGGAGGTTCAAGAGGATTCTAGCTTCGGGGGGGACGACAGGGTAGGATAGCACAGGGTAGGGCAGAGAATCAACTCACGTAGCTGGTTTCCCTGGCACCTCCTGGCGCCGGGAAGCGCCCACGTGTCGAGGAATGGTCCCGGCGGCAGGGCGGAAACCAGCTGCACGCAGCAGATGTCGTACCCCCGCCCTTTTCCCGATCCTACCCTTTCGCGCGCGCGGCCCGATAGGTTCTGTTGCCAATGCAGGCTTTGCCTACCCGCTGGTCGGAAGAAGTGGACCGAAACATGAAGTAGGAAGGCGTTGGAGGTAGATTGGGCTTCCACCCGCTCCATGAAGAAGAGGGAAGAGGGACTGCCACTCGATCTTTGAAGTAAGAAGGCATCTAAAGTAGACTTGGACCTGTGGATCCAACAGTACCTACTTTCGACGACTGGCTTTGCAGAACCAGTGGGTGCTGGGCGTCGCGCCGGCCGACCTCCCTCGGGTCGTTCTCGGTCTCGGCTCCTTGCTGCCCTCCTACCTTGGGCTCCATGGTCTTGCGGTTCCTTGATACCTTGCTTCCTTGGTCTTGGTTACATGACTCCTTGGTTGCGGTTCTTCGAATATTGCTTCCTTTGCTCGTTGGGCTTGATTCCTTGGTGTTGTTTTCTTGCTGCCCGGCCGCGCAATTCCAAGTAATGCCAAGCAATTCCGAGCAACATGCGAATCAACACCAAACAATTCCAAGCAACGCCAAGCAATGGCAAGCAATGGCAAGCAATCCCGCGCAACGCGCCCGTGCAATAGACAGTTTTCCCCCAATGGTGTTGCGCCTGGCTCATTTTCCATATTTGTGTGATTTCCCACGCAGCGCTCAGTGACCTAAAATCCGCACGTCAGCGGTGGCGCAGGATTGAACCATGCCCAGGTGTCCGTAGACCTCCCAAGCGCAATTGAGGGCCGAGGGGGGGAAGAAGGATGAAAAGAAGCCAAATATGGCGGCTAAGCAAGCGGCGACGGATAGGTCCCTGATCGTCGGGACAGGTTATTTGCGTTATCCTCCTCCTCCTCCTCCTCCTCCTCCTCCTCCTCCTCCTCCTCCTCTTCCTCTTCCTCCCGAACCTTCAGCTTGAGGGGCAACGATAGGGGGGGATAGGCATAGGGGGGATGCATCGACCTGGAATCGGCGATACATCGTCGATAGATCGGCGATAGGCACCCGATAGCGAACCCGCACCTTCCTGGAAGGGTTGGGGCTATCGGGCCCCTGTCGGCGATCAATGGGCGATTGTGGGTCGATGCATCCCCCCTATATCTATCCCCTCGATCGTTGCCCCCGACAGCTCTCCTCCTCCTCCTCCTCCTTCTCCTCCTCCTCCTCCCCAGAACCTCCTCCCCAGAACCTCCTCCTCCACCTGCTCCTCCTCCGCCCCCCTCCTCCTTCCGCTGATCCTCCTCCTCATCAGGGCTGGTCTCCTTGGTCCACATGAACTGCGCCTGGTAGTAGTCTATCCCCTCCTCGCGGTGAGTGTCAAACCACCTCGGGGAGTGAGCAGAGGGCAGAAACTATACCCCGACAATAACCACCCCGACGCGCGAAGCCGTTTAGTCAACGCACCCAGAGAAGGAATCAAGCAGGGCAGGGCTGTTTGGTAAACTCCCAGGGCCGTTTAGTAAACGCCAATTGTCCGGTCTGGGTGGCTTTTCCTCCCTTGAAGTGAGGGCGGAGCCGCGGAGGGGGGGGGAAAGCCGAGGCGGAGAGCACGCTGCACAGCGAGGCCGGCCCCCGACCCTCGAGGATCCTCGGGGGAGGCTCCGGCACGTTTGGGGCAGTTGCTGGGCCCGCTTTCCAACACCACCACCAGAAGTAGGAGGGGGAGGGGGTCCTCCTCCTCCTCCTCCTCCTCCTCCTCCTCCTCCTCCTCCTCCTCCTCCTCCTCCTTCCCCCCCGCCAACTCCTGGTCCAGCAGCAATCTCCCGGGGCCTCGGGCAGGAGGAGGACGGCGGAGGACGGCCGGCGGAGGAGGGCGGCGGGCGCCGGCCCGCGGGGGAGGGCGGGCGGAGAGGGGGGAGAGGCAACACGGCCGGCCCGGAGCGGCAGGCTCGAGGCCCCGCAGGGCGTGGGGGCGCTGGCGCGGTCGAGGGCACGGCGAGGGCGGGAGAGCGGAGAGCGGCGGCACCGTGCGCGGCGGGGGGCGCGGAGGAGGAGCCTGAAGGGGCCCTGGGACACACAGATGAATACGCACAAATATTTTCTGGGCTTCTGTCTTCCCCCCCACTTCCCATATTCCCCATATTCCCCTCCTATATGTCCCATATTTTCCTATATTTTCTGGGCTTCTGTCTTCCCCCCCACTTCCCATAGTTCCAATATTTTCTGGGGAATCGACGATCAATTGTGTCTGTGTGTTTCTTTCCCTCCTGAGAGCCCGCGTGCCCGGGAGGGCGAGTGACGCAACCGCTCGACGACTGCTGCAGCCGAGCTTAGCGGCATGGGGGCTCCCTCCCCTCCCGAGCTGCTGGGGGGGCCTCGGCCGCTCGAGTATGCTCGGCCGGAGTTGGGTGTGGCGAGGGAAGGGCCTGGGCAGGCAGTGCTGTGCACGCTGGCATGCGAGAAGCGCGGAGTGCCGCACCCGAGCTGTAGTGCGATACGTTCCGAACAGGCGAGGTTGACAAAGCAAAGCCACCCTCGGCTCATGAAGGATACGGAAGCGTATGGCAGTGAGCACGTGCGCTCTGTCACGCGGCATCCCTGCTACGTTGTGATCCTCCGTGGGCCCGAGGCCGAGGCAGAGACGCCCAGGTGGAGCAAGGGGGTCGAGAAGACGATGGCAAACGAGGCAGTGGGAAATGGAGCCGGGGCTCTCTGACAGCCGAAGCGGCACGTGAGCGATGTCAGAATGAGAAATCTGTGAGACGTCATTCATGCGCCTGCCAATTTCTGTAAACTGGTCCCATGCACGCATGAGGAGGGAATACTGCAACACATGTTTAAGTTATTCCCTGCGAGCACGCATCTCCTCCTCAGCAGGAGGCCAGGTACAAGGGAACCCAGCGTAGAGACGACGGAGGAAGAGGAGGTGAAGCTCGTCAGGGAGGAGGCGGGATGTGACGTGGGCAGAGAAGAACGACTGGATGCCGCCCCGGCGGCCGGAGCCTGGTACCTCGGGGTCCTGCTGGGCCACCAGCTGCCGCCGCCCGGATGTCGCCGACCGCTACTGTATGTGGGGGCGCCCGGCCGACCACACACCACTCACCTGGTCAACTACCGCGCGCCGCTCTTGCGCCACAGCCTCGTGCATATCGCACGGGCGCCCCGCCATCCTTCGAGGGTCTTCGTGGCCATGCGCCACCCTGTGGCAGTGTAGAACACTAAAACAGAGTGTGGGGCTCCTGTCTTAGCCAGCCAGCAATGCTGATAAGCAAAATGCGAGGCGAAACGGGAACACACTGAGCCAGGTAGCTCAGCACAGTGATGCATCTAGTGTTATACAGATCACCGACGTTGCCGAAGACACCCCCCCCACCCGCAGTCTCCCTCGCCCGGGCCCGCACCTTCTGACCAGTAGCGTCCCATTCACCAGCCAATGTTGCACCTGGCCCCATGGGGATACCGAAGTACTTAGTGGCCGACGAGATGGTGAAAAGAGGCCCGCGCTGAAATCTCTTCATCCAGAAATCTACGAATTCTCGCCGCGATTGTCTCGGAGACGAAACCAAGAACGGCACCATACCACGCTTTTGGGGCTGGGGGAGGCCAGCAAGCGCATCAGCAGCCCGGAAAGGGAGGAAAAGAGCTCGAAGGTGTCTGCTGCTTGTCACGGCGGCGCCGACGTCGTCCGCGCGGGCCCGCAAACCTTCCTGAGAGCCTCCAGCGGCCACCAAGGAGCTAACCAGGCCACGGACCAGGGGATCGATCCCAAGAGCTGTGAGAATCCCAGAGAGTGGGCACCCCTGGAAAGCTGAAGAAGACAGGGTAAAGAACTCCTGAACAACATCGCCAACGCGGAGAAGATCCGAAGATTTGCACATCAAAGCCTGCACCGCTTACAGCATGCGGCTGGAATCTGGAAACTGCGGAGGACCTCTGGAAAACAGCTTTGAAATTGAAACTGGCAAAAAGGCTGGCAACCGTGGGCCTGCATCCTCTCCGATGCTGTATACGGCCGAGAGTGTCAAGTTTGACTATGCGGCACGCAGAATTGCGAACATGCACAAAACCCTGCTGTACAGTATGGGCGCGGTGCTGAGCGATGTGCTTAGGACTGCGACTGATGGTCGTGCCAGAACTTTGGCATCGCAAGTTCTCAACCTGGGAAAGCTGAATTGGCCTGGCTGCCGGGTGCAACCTACTGAGTCGAGTCATCCCTCGCCCTTGGCGGTAACGCAAAAAGACTGCGGTTGCCGGGAGAGCGGGGGGGGGGGGGGCGAGCCCTGAAACGTCGAGAGAAGAACATGTGGGACAAGGGAGAAAGCGGGGTGTGCAAGCCGCGCTCATCCCACCCCTTCCGCCCAGGCAGACAACCCGCGCGCGCTGCAGCGAGCGCTCAAGCCGCGCCTCGTTGCAGGCGAACGCCTGCGCCCTGAAGCGCTCGCGGTCCTTCGGGCTGATAGTGGAGCCTTCGATGCTGATGTGGGCGGCGCCAGCCAGTGGCGCCATGCCGCACGAGCCACTGCCCGCAGCACCATGTACCGCGCATCAAGGTCGTCCTCTGAAATGCCGCCGACGGGGGTCTGCAGCAGAATGTTCCTCGTTGTCTCCGCCGCCAGAGTCATCTTGCGCATGACGCACTCCCACTGCTCAGTAGTCGGCACAGTGTCCAAGTCGCACGCGCCAATGAGTACCTCGAGCTGCTTGTGGTCGGTATACGTGCCGAAGATGAGCGCTGCCATGCTCTGCTCACCCTAAGAGAGGGCTCCGTTGTCGGCTTGATCTTGAATTCCATCATCGCGTGGCCACTGACTTTCCATCGGGCAAGCTGCTGTGCGTCGTACCTGGCGGCGGAGCGGGGATAATATGCGATCAACGAATGTCATTTGAGTCGAATGCTTTTCATAGTGGGCTGCCACCGGTGCCGCGATCTCTGTCAACCACTCGGACGACTTGACCAGCCGCCTCCAGAAGGGCTCGCAATGGTTTGCTCGACCTTCGCTCGACCGTCTTGCCTGCCGAGGCTGAGATCGGAGGAGGCTCCCACGGGGATTCATCCCTGTAGTTCATGCTTCAAACAACCCACAAATAGTCAGAGGGGGTCAGCTGCAGCCCACTGTCCATTCGTATCCCAGCAATGCTTCATGTTGTCACGCTCGCGCTGGCTACGGTCATGGTTGTGGACGGACATTGCAGATCCTGACCCTGGAATCTGGGTTAGCCAATGGCATAGACGTTGAAGTGACATAGAGATCGATTGATCAAGCTCTGGAGGGCCAAGCCGTTCCCGTGAACCCCTTGCAGTGCGATGGTAGCTCCTTGTTTCACTATTTCGAAAAACTTCGATAACTTGAAATTGCGACTGCCAGTGCCACGACACAGACGGCCACGAGCGCTTCACGAGACGATGCGGCAGGGGGTGATGTCCCCAGGGCGCAGCCACGGTGTCCATTTCGGTTTCGGAGGAAGACCAGCTGGAGGTGTTCACCGAATTGATAAAAGTGTTTACAGCGCTCCATAATACTATTCGCGTCGAGCTGGAGGGTGGCATTCGCCTCTGGGCTCCACGTGACCTTCGACGGCTGGTCGGGACCCTGCGGCGTGACCTCAGCGACTGGAGTGGTACCGAGATGCACCAATCCGCTCGTTCTCTGCATCCCCCAGTCGCCGCTCTTCTCTTCCATGCACAATGCCATGAGCTTCTTCGTTTGCACCTCCTGCCTGATCGCCTTCGGCTTCTTGTCAAGATTGATGTAGAGCTTCTCTGTGGCGCCCTGTGAGGACAAGGTGGTGAACTTCCGCCGGCGTCCGCTTTGAAGCTTGAGATGTTTGGCCAGCGCCAGGGCTCGAACACGACCATAGCCAGCACCAGGGGCGACGATGTGGAACCTCTTGGCGGGTTCGCGTTCGTTGATTCAGGTTCCGCTTCCCTTGATGCTGGATGCTTCCAGCCACCCCTGCGGCGCCGAGAGGAGGTCCGCGGGGGTCGCCACCTTCCTGCAGATGGCCACGAAGAGCTGGGGGATCGACGGGCCTGCCCCTGTCGGCGATGCGGTGCATGGCAGGATCGTCGCCGCGGTCGAGGGCGTCGGCCTGCACGAGAACAGATTGCGTGTGACCGCGCTCTCCTGCTCGAGCGGCCGACTGACCGATGCTATCTGCGAGAGCTCGGTCTGCTGCTCGCCACGGCGCTCGTCGTGTGGCGAAAGCTGCTTCTGCATCTGAGACGGCGCTGGTTTGAGAGAGATGGCGACTGTGTGCTGCATATGGCTCTGGTCGCGTCCGCCAGCTGCTGCCTGAGAGCCTTCTGGCTCCGATCTTCCGCCGCGGCCATGTCTGAGCGCAGGGAAATTCGTTGGCGCCCGGCCTTCCTGCAATGTGTGCTGATCCTGTCGCTTCCGAGAGGGACGTGCGCCGCGCGGCTGACACGGTTCTCAGGCATGGCGAGAGGACTGCCACGAGCGCTGCGCGCGGCAGCCGCCGAAGAGGAGGAATGGTGAAGACTGTTGCTCCACCAGGAGCTCACTGAGAATGACTTCTGGACTGCCGCGGACCAGCGGTATCCCAGCTGGCACGGGGGCGCAGAGCCACCAAGTAACAGGCAGATTGAGCCAAAAAGGCTACGGAGGAGAAGGATGAGGAGGAGGAAGAAAGGAGCAAGATGAGGACGAGTAGGCGAAGCGCCTGAGAAAAGGCTTCGTCCACACGCTGAAGGGCAGAAACAGGGTGTAGATCACCGTGACGGCGAGCATCAGCCACAGGTTGTCAAAGCCGTACGACTTATCCTTGAAGGGCTGGGCAGCGTGAGCTGCTCGATAAGAGAGGGAAGTGGATCGCGTGAGCGGGTAGGAATGGGCTGTCCCTCGCGGGCCAGAAGAGGGGGTAACGTTAGGGGGGGGGGTCGATGTGCGCGGGGGGACTGGAACGGCCCGTCGAGCGGGATGGCACGGGGGGCCTTAGTGGAAAACTCGCAGTAGCCCTTGTTCTGGGGGGGGGGAGGGGCTTCGAATGCCCTCCTCCTCCTCCTCCTCCTCCTCCTCCTCCTCCTGCTCCTCCACCTCCTCCTCCTCCTCCATCTCCTCCTCCTCCTCCTCCTCCTCCTCCACCTGCTACCCCTCCTCCTCCTCTTACTCCTACTCCTACTCCTCCACCTGCTACTCCCCCCTGCACCCCCTCTGCCTCCCCGTGTTGTTCCTGTGCCTCCGCCTCCGCCTCCGCCTCCGCCTCATCCATCCCCTCCTTCTCACCATACACCCGTGCACTCCTTCACCCCCCCATCCCCCACTCCCTCCCTTAACCCCCACCTCCAGAACATCGGAGTCTAAGCATGGTTCTGAGTCCCCCCCTCCTCCCCTCGACCCCTCCTCGCCTCACCAATATCCTCTCTCTCTCGTCTTCCTGCTCTTTCTCGTACTTCTCCTCCTCCTCCTTCTCCTCCTCATCATCGTCGATATCATCATCAGCAGCATCACCAGAATCATCATCATCAGCAGCAGCAGCATCGTCATCATCAGCAGCATCAGCATCATCATCAGCACCATCATCAGCATCACAACCACCACCGTCACCATCATTACCATCATCAGCAACATCATAAACGTCAGCAAACTTATCATCATCATCATCAACTACAACATCAGCATCAGCAGCATCAGCAGCATCATCACCATCCTCATCATCCTCATCAACATCATCATCATCCTCATCACCATCATCATCAGCAGCAGCATCATCATCATCATCTTCATCATCATCCGCATCCTCTCTCTCTTCCTCTTCCTCTTCGCCCCCCTCCCTCTCCTCATCCTCGCCTTCTTCTCCTCCTCCTCCTCTTCCTTCTCCTCCTCCTCCTCATCGTCCTCGCCCTCCGCCGTCGCTTCCCCCTCGCACTCCGTCCGCATTGTTGTCTTACCTTCCATTAATTACCCGCCCTCTCCCTCCCCTCTGCTTCCAATACACTCCTACATCTCATGTCCCCCGTTGTTATGTTCCACTGTATGCGCGTTAACATATATTCGCCTGCTCATCATCCCTCTTCCCTCGCTATCTTGTTCCAAACCTTCCCCTTCGTACGTACAACCTCTCCTTCTACTGATCCCTTCTGCTGCTGCCGCATCTCCCCCCCCGCCCCTCCTTCAGGGATGGCGTCAAGAACATCCACGTCGAGATGGAGAAGCTGAGAGGGATCGTGTATTTGATCACCTTCAAGGAGTACAGCGGCAACTCCCGAGATAATTGCCTGCCCCCGTCCCTGCCCTTGCCTCACCCTGTTCCTCCTCCGTCGCCTCACCCCTTCCTCCTGCCCGCTCTCTTCTCCCAGTTCCAGGTGGAAGAGCAAGGGAGAGGGAGGGACGGCGGAGGAGAGGCGGGAGGGAAGTAGAGGGAGAAGGGACTTTTAGGGGGGGGCAGAAAAGGGAGAGATGGAAGGGGAGAGGGGGAAACGAACACGGGGAAAGAGAGGTGCGGCAGACGTGCCTGAGGAGGGGGGGGGGAGGACAGTGAGAGTGGGACGGGGACGAAGAAGGGGAATGCGAGGCGGAACAGGTGGGACTGAGGAAGGGAACTGGGGATGGCGCCAGGGACGACAAGGCAGATGGGAAGCGGAATTGGGAGGCAGGGGGGAGAGAGGGCAGGAAGGAGACGGCAGGGGGGGACACCGGGGGACGGCCTGCGCGGTCGCTTGGCCCACGTGAGCAGCACGTACTTGTCCACCCAGTACTGTGCGAGAATCCTGGGCCAGGGGGCGGGTGCCGGCAGAGGAGGAAACAGAAAGAGGAGGAGAGGACGGAGACGGCGGAAGAGGAAGAGGGGGGAGGAGGAAGCACCGTGCAGATGCCAGTGGTGGGGCACCGATGGACACACTGATCCCTCTGTGGGGCTGCTGGTGAGGGGGAGAGGTGGAGAGGCCGAGGGATGGGGAGGACGGGGAGGGAAGGACGCGGGAGAGGGGGGAGGGAGGTGGAGAAGGGGGTGGCAAACTAGGTGCGCGCGCCGTATCTGATATCCGACACCTCCCATCGAGTTCCTTCCCATTGCGATGAGTTTGTTCTATTCGCCGACGGGTGTTCTAGCGGACCTGGACTTTTGACATGTTCCCATCGTGCGATGCGCCATCAGGAAGGGGATCTGTGTACATTAGAGGGGCTGGCGGATGAACAAGAGGATGCGGAGAATGAGGGAGGAGAACGAGGAGTAGCAGGACCAGGGGAAGGCGGAGGAGGGGAAAGGAGGGTGCGACAACAACGAGGAAGGAATCAGATCCAGAAATGTGGGCTAAACTGGGACGAGAGCGCCATTCTGAACGACGGGAGCAAAGCGACCATCCTGAAATGAGGCCAGCGCTGCAGCGCGCGCATTGCCCTGAGAAGTCACAAAAGAAGACTCCGATCGGGAAAACAAGCCATTACACATTTGCTGTTTTTGTCACGCAACACGCAATTTCGGGAGAATATTGGGGAACCCACACCAAACCAGTGTGTCCCAGCAAGTTTTTCGAGGAGGCTCCAAAGAGGACCCCAAAAGCTACCCCCCCCCCGAGGCTCCCGGGGGCGCCCTGGAGGGACCCCAAGAAACATCCACGTCAGCATCGTCGCCGTCGTGGTCGTTCTGGGTCGGCGGCGCCGGCCGTGAGAGGCCTCTCCAGTCGACAGAACGTGACGTCTGGTGTGCAGCAGCAAGATTCGGCGGTGGACAAACCTCCCTTCAGTTAACCACCCTTCAGTGAAAACGGCCTAGGACCAACACCGACGGACCTGGACCCGCAAACATGGCGGCCGCGACGCCCTCCCGCGAAGCGAAAGCGGCCAATTCGCTAATGGTCGTGTCAGGGTAGGAGGTCGATCAACCTCCGAAGAACACACGCGGGCAACGGCAATCTACGCGATCCCCAGGGTGCCTCTTGGCGGGGGTGCTCGTGGGCCTCCTCTGGGCCATCTTGGAGCTGACGGCGACTCGGGAGGGGGGCGTCGGAGTGGCGGTAGCCATGGCGTCGCCCCCGTCGTCGTGACTTAAAGTGCCCAGTCTTCGTCGTCGCCGCCGTCGTCGTCGTCGTCGTCGTCGTCGTCGTCGTCGTCGTCAAGTCAAGTCAAGTCAAGTCAAGTCAAGTCAAGTCAAGTCCGGGGGGGGAGGAAGGGAGAGTGGTGCTGCAGCCGTGGGAAGCTGTAGAGAGAAGGAGGAAGAGGGAGGGGGGCGCGGGGAGAGCAGGAGGGGAGCGGGAGGAGGGGAGAGGGGGGAGGGGAAAGGAGGGACGCGGGGAGAGGAAAGGAGGAGGGACGCGGGAGGAGGGAAGGGGAGAGGGAGGGAGAGAGGGAAGGGGAGAGGAGGGACGCGGGGAGAGGAAAGGAGGAGGGAGTGGGAGGAGGGAAGGGGAGAAAGGGGGGGGGGATCGAACGGAGGGGAGGCAGATGGGAAGGGATGGGTGGGCGGGGGGAGGGGGAGAGTGGGGGGGGGGGGGAATGGCGGCTCTCCGCCTCCTCCGCCGTCTGCCTCGCTACAGCCCTCCTTCCTGCTCCTCCTTCGGCTTTTCTCCTCCACCCTCCCTGCCCCTCTTGATCAGTACGTGGATCGGGCGAAGCCTGTCGAGGCTGTACGCATGGGCATTGTTCAATGTAGCACGCCAGCCAATGAGAAGGCATCCATCATAACCAAAGGGATATGCAACAAGTGGTGGAACTGTGTAGCACACGTCTGGTAACAATCGCACTGTCAGCACGGAATTCGCCCATGACGGGCAAGAACAATGGCAAGAGCTGGTGAGTTCGAAGGGCAAGGTGGGGAACACGTCTCCCTTGACACATCTTCCCTCACAATAGTGATCAAAATACATTCGCAATGCAGCCGACAACTGAAGACAATAGCAATGATGGCAGGTGTAGATGAATGTTCGTGCACGGTGGTTGGGTGGATGGAAGCCTCAGGGAGACCGGTATAGCAGCCTACTATAGCAACAAGAGCAAGAGGGATAATGCCTGGTCGCTGCCAGTAGCAATCTGGAAAGTATAGGCTGCACGCGCTGCGGTGCCATAGCGGGGATGGCTCGCGAATTGCAATTGGCATTGGAAGTCCTAGGTAGAGGCTGGGCGGCTCACAGTGACGGTGTCCTGTCCCACCCTTTAAACAGATAGAGCAGCGTAGAACTGGGCAGAGGTGAGTTCGCGCTGCGCGGGCGTGGCTAACTGAGCATTGGTTGGCCGAATGCGTGTGTAGGCCCATGCTGTTGCTACGTCACCGCGGTGCGAGCGGAGTCGTACAGGGCGGAGTGGAGGACGGACATGTGTCGGCGCTCGTGCATGTGTTCTCTTGGGCAAGGTGCTCAAGCCCCTCGTTCACTCGACAAGATTCGGCACGGAAAGGCGTGTTCACGCACTGTTATCCCCGTCTATCGCCCCAATCCGCGGCCAGCTTGGAAAGCACGGCAAAACGCTTGGGGATATCGCTCCGCGTGCAGCAGAGAGCTCCGGGGAGTGCCTGGCGGATTCTGGTGCAGGTCTGCCGAAGAGGTGGGCAGCCTGATGGCCCCCTCTGAGGGCCAACGGTAACCCAGGAGGAGAATGTCACGCGTCATTCTTGGTTGCACGCAAGAGTGACCCTGCACAGGAGGGGGACCTTTGGTGCGCGGCTTCAAGGGGGACGCAGGGGGGGTGAGGCCAGACCCGGGCGCGCGAGCCGCTGCCATCGCACCGCGGTCAGCGATCGGGGAACCTGTGGGCCCGCACCAAAGGCCACTCCGGCGAAGGGCCACTCCTACGCGCATGCGGCATCCCGAGCACGGGCGGCGCGAGGGGCCCTGGACTCAGCACGCCTCGCGCGCGGGCGGCGCCGTGCCGCCCGCAGCACAGCAGCACTGCGCAAGGGGGAGGGGGAGGGCGGCGGGCGGGGGGGCAACGGGCCGCGCGCGAGAGGAACATGCTGCAGGTCCAGCGGCTGCATGTCCGAGGGTCGCGCACCGCCAAAGGCGGACGGCACTTGGCCCAGATGTCTGCGGAGCAAAGCAGAAAGCCAGAATGCCGCCCCCGCCCTCAGAATAGGTACTCCGAGTCTCTTAATAAGCGTCTGGGAGGCGTGACACCCGCCGACAGCCCCACGTCGACCCCCGTCGCGGGCAGCCACCGCGCGTCGAAGGCGCTCCGACCCCCGTCGCGGCGCGACGACGAGGCGAGGTTGACCCCCGTCGGGGGGGTACCCCCCCCCCGCTTATTCAGAAACCCAGAGTACCCCGACAAGCAAAGCCGTGTCGCAAACGCAGCCAGAGGTGGAATCGAACAGGGCCTTGGCTGGTTAGGAGACGCCTGGGGCCGTTCAGCAAGCGCCAGCTCTGGCGGTCGGTCGGGATGGTTTTTTCCCTCCCTGGAAAAATCGAAGAGGATGGCGACTGCAGTCAGCCACGCGCGAACACCACCCCTGCTGGTCAGGCTTCCAAAAAAACTAGCCGGGGTTCAGACTCTGAGCGACCGGCTGCCGCCAAGTGAACCCCAGCGGGGGTCTCCGATACCACAGCGTCGATTGGACCCACGGGTTCGCACTTGATCGCAGAGACTGGGTGAGGAAAGCAACAGCGGACGAAGCCAACCCCCCCTCCTCCCTGGAGCACCCCCCCATGTCCCGAAGAATCCGACCAAGGAGACGTAGGGGCTCACCGGCATGTACAGAACGCACGCCATGAACGTCTTGAGCGCGTTGGCGAATCGCCTGGTGGTATTCAGCTCAGAAGGCGTGAAGGCGAGCTTCATAATTTCGACCTCCTTTACTACCTTTTGGTAGTCCTGCTTCATTTGCTCAGACTTGGGAGGTCCGCGCCTGATCACCTCGTTCCACTCCTCGAGCTTCGCGTCTGTCAGCTGCTTACGCCTCCTCAACTTCAGAAGCCACCCAATGTCCACAAGAGGGATGAACGCCGGAATCATGCTGGTGAAGATGAGGAATATTGTCACGTCGTACACGAGGCCGCCTGCCTGGTACCACTCCCTGGGCTGTGCGTTCACCACGAACATCACCCCTGCAGTGTTGAGAAACAGGCCCGTTGCCATCTTGGTCATCTGTGAGAAGTTCTCGGACGTCCACGTGTCATGGAACTCCGCATCGCCAGTCTTCTTGGCCGCGGCCACGATGGCGACATTTGACAGTGCGAGCCCGATCGCAGGCAAAAAGCCGAGCAGTGTGAATCCGACCCCCGTGTCGCCCGATTCTCTCAACCAGTCCTGGAACACGTTCAACGACCAGGTGACCCCCAAGCATACCAAGATGATGACGGCCATGACGGCATTGGTTTTCGCCATCATCTTGTACCTTATGGAAGCGGGCACCCCCAGCTCCTCCCAGTGGATGTTGCCTGGCACTGGCGCCCGCACGGCAAACAGTTTGAAGATGGGTATGTCCCCGACAGGGAACTTCGGCAGCTTGCCCCCCGGCCAGAACGAGTTGCCCTTCGGCAACATCCAGGCGTCCAGGCCGTCGCGGTAGAACCAGCGCTGGTAGAACGAGTTCCACCGGCGCAGGCACAGGCGCATGTCCTCCTGGAAGCGGAAGACGACCACCACCACCCCCGAGGACGTCATCTCGGCGGAGCTGGAGGCCGTGTTCAGCGACTTGGAGATCTCCGCCATCTTCGCCTTGATGCTGGCCTTCTCCTCCGAGGAGACACAAGATCGGTCGCCGGACATCTCCCAGTTCGGCCCCATAGGTCGGGCGTGTCCCCCTACGGGCTGATTTTGGGCGAAAAATCAAAAATTATCGAACATTATCTTCAAATAGTCAAACAAACCAAAAAACAAAAAAATAGTCCCCATATTATTTTTGGACTATTTTTGAATATTCCTTCTGTAGAGGGACAGGCCCGACTTGACCCCAGGGACGCGGAAGGGGGGGACGGAGAAGCGAGGAGGAGAGAGAGGCGCAGGAGGGTGTCCTCTTATCATCCTGTCCTCTATCCCGAAACGGAGCCGTAGAGCTCCCAGGGATGGGGGAAGTGGGAGGACAGGGGACAAGAGGGGAGGAGAAAGAAGACAGCGAAAAGAGAGTCGGCGATGTTTCGCCATGCCTCAGGCTGTTGCCCCCATGGTTCCCCCGAGGGAGGGCGATGGAGGTATGACGGAGGATACCCTCTGTAGTTTCCAAGATATCCACCCCATGTCACTCGAGTGGGAACGAAAGGAGGCAGCACAAGAAGCACGGCGTGATTTCGGCATGCCTTCGGCTGCCGCCCCCGACCTCCCACGGCCCTAGCATTACAACCCGTGCTCGAGGTTTGAATGATTGGAACAATACGTGTTATCGATCCTCCTCATTGTTTGCATCGTCCTAGCCCTGCTCACACTCATCCTCAGCATCCGCGTCCTCCTCATCCTGCTCATGCTCTTTTTTCCCAGCCATCCTGTGGGGTTGGGTCCTCGTTTTGAAGAGACGTCGCCCCGCGTTCCTTCCTCCTCCTCCTTCCTCCTCCTCCCCTTCCTCCCCCCTCCTCCCCCTCCCACACCCATTCTGGCACACCCCTCACACGTTTCGTGGCCCCATAGGGAGCTCCACCGAAGGCCCCAGTGGCTGCGCCCGCATGCGGTTCCACCCCCCATTCTGGCACACCCCTCACACGTTTCGTGGCCCCATAGGGAGCTCCACCGAAGGCCCCAGTGGCTGCGCCCGCATGCGGTTCCACCCCCCATTCTGGCACACCCCTCACACGTTTCGTGGCCCCATAGGGAGCTCCACCGAAGGCCCCAGTGGCTGCGCCCGCATGCGGTTCCACCCCCCATTCTGGCACACCCCTCACACGTTTCGTGGCCCCATAGGGAGCTCCACCGAAGGCCCCAGTGGCTGCGCCCGCATGCGGTTCCACCCCCCATTCTGGCACACCCCTCACACGTTTCGTGGCCCCATAGGGAGCTCCACCGAAGGCCCCAGTGGCTGCGCCCGCATGCGGTTCCACCCCCCATTCTGGCACACCCCTCACACGTTTCGTGGCCCCATAGGGAGCTCCACCGAAGGCCCCAGTGGCTGCGCCCGCATGCGGTTCCACCCCCATTCTGGCACACCCCTCACACGTTTCGTGGCCCCATAGGGAGCTCCACCGAAGGCCCCAGTGGCTGCGCCCGCATGCGGTTCCACCCCCATTCTGGCACACCCCTCACACGTTTCGTGGCCCCATAGGGAGCTCCACCGAAGGCCCCAGTGGCTGCGCCCGCATGCGGTTCCACCCCCCATTCTGGCACACCCCTCACACGTTTCGTGGCCCCATAGGGAGCTCCACCGAAGGCCCCAGTGGCTGCGCCCGCATGCGGTTCCACCCCCCATTCTGGCACACCCCTCACACGTTTCGTGGCCCCATAGGGAGCTCCACCGAAGGCCCCAGTGGCTGCGCCCGCATGCGGTTCCACCCCCCATTCTGGCACACCCCTCACACGTTTCGTGGCCCCATAGGGAGCTCCACCGAAGGCCCCAGTGGCTGCGCCCGCATGCGGTTCCACCCCCCATTCTGGCACACCCCTCACACGTTTCGTGGCCCCATAGGGAGCTCCACCGAACGCCCCAGTGGCTGCGCTCGCATGCGGTTCCACCCCTCACACGTTTCGTTCCACCGTGGCTGCGCATGCGGTGGCACACGACTCCATAAGAGCCATCCACCGAAGGCCCCAGTGGCTGCGCTCGCATGCGGTTCCACCCCCTTTTTTCGGCACGCCCTTCACACGTCTCGTGGCCCCATAGGGAGCTCCACCGAACGCCGCAGTGGCTGCGCTCGCATGCGGTTCCACCCCCCATTTCGGCACACCCCTCACACGTTTCGTGGCTCCATAGGGAGCTCCACCGAAGGCCCCAGTGGCTGCGCTGGCATGCGGTTCCACACCCCATTCTGGCACACCCCTCGCACGTTTCGTGGCCCCATAGGGGGCTCCACCAAAGGTCCCAGTGGCACTGCCCGCTTGCGTCCGCCACCACCCAGCACAGCCCTTGTTCCCTGCGCTTCACCCACCCAGAACAGCGCTTCGTAGCCCTATAGGGAGCTCCACCAAAGGTCCCAGCGGCACCGCCCGCATGCGTCCGCCACCACCCTGCGCAGCCCTTGCTCCCTGCCTGCGTTTCACCCACCCAGTACAGCGTTTCGTGGCCCCATAGGGAGCTCCACCGAAGGTCCCAGTGGCACCGCTCGCATGCGTCCGCCACCACGCAGCACAGCCCTTGCTGACCGCGTCTCACCCACCCAGTACAGCGTTTCGTGGCCCCATAGGGAGCTCCACCGAAGGTCCCAGTGGCACCGCCCGCATGCGTCCGCCACCACCCAGCACAATTGCGGCATTCACAACTGCATATGGTTGGGTCCTTCACCAGGCTAATTTCTCGTCTTGCTCGACCGCCTCATCCCCCTCCTGTTCCTCCTGCCCAGTCCTCCCCAATACCCTCCTCCTACTCTTCCTTATCCTTCTACTTGTCCTCTTCCATCTCGACATCCTGCATACAATGCTCCTCCTTCCAGCCCTCATAATGCGTTCCTCCTCCTCCTCCTCCTCCTCCTCCTCCTCCTCCTCCTCCTCCACGGCAGCACCATTATCATCATCATATGATAGATTCCCCCTCCTCCTCCTCCTCATCATCATCGTCACCACCACCACCATCATCACCACCACCACCACCATCATCATCATCATCAGCAGCATCATCAGCAACAACAGCATCATAATCACCATCAGCAGCCGCATCAGCATCATCATCAGCATCATCACATCAGTATGTTCGTCAGCATCTGCATCATCCTCAGCATCATCATCATGATCATCATCCTCCTTCGCCTCCCCCCGGACCACCAATGTGCCGTCTCCTCTTCGACGCTGGCCTCGTCGACGGAGGTCTCGGGCGCGGACAGCAGGCAGCTGAAGTAGCTCTTGAGGCCGGTGGTCCCAGAGCTGTCGAGCTCATCGAGACGCCTGGGAGGGTGGCGCGGGTTGGCTCAAAATTATTGGGAGACCGTCGCGATCCCAGCAGGGCAAGTAACAATACTGCTGGGGACTGCAAAAGGGAAGCCTCCTCCTGGTCCTTGCGGCCAGTCGCAATAAGCGAATCGCAAACTCTGGTGCCGAACACCCTTGGCCATGTCACATCATGCGTGTCACTATTTTTCTCGCCGCAGCGCAGCGAAACCTGAAGTCGAAACGCCGCCAGGACCCTAGTGAACATAATCTCGCAACAAGACGTCCAGAGGGAGGAGGGAAAAGAGCGAGGGAGAAGGAAGGGGAGAGGAAACGATTATGCGTATCAATATCTGCCTCCCTGCGCTGTTTCGCTGAGGTAAGACACATGCGCCCTTGCGGTATAACTGCTTGGGCGCACGGCAGAGGCAGCGTCGTCTGGACGTCGCCGCCAGTGACGTCGGCGCCCGCGTCATCGGCTTCACCGGGACTCGTCAGCGGTACCCTGGCCTTCCCGCTTGAGGTGCAGAAGGGGAATTCTCGCTACGAGGCCGTGCATGCTCCTGCCAGTCGTAGTCCTCTGCCTGTACGTGCTGCGACTGTGCTCAAATGTCTCGTGCATTGTATTTCCGTCCCTCGTACTACATGGACGACTGATGTAAACCCCAGTGCCGCTACAGTACAGGTGCGTAAAGGTGCACATCAGGCGACGAAGCATCGAAATGCTTATCTTGGTTACTATGGCATTTGCCATATTCAGCCTCTTACCACAATGAACCCACATCTGGCCTACATGGCACCGACATCGCGACCAGATCGTCTCAAGACACGCCCAAAGTTTTTTCAGGGAAAAGATGGGGGCGGACAACAAGACGGATCGCCAACCTGCTCAGCGACACGCACATAAAGCGTCTGCGAGAAGACACCGCGCGGGGCAAAACTGTGCCAGAACTGGTGCCGAGACTTCTGCTGCGACGTGACGCTGGGAGGGAGGATGAGGGTGGGAGGGAGGAACGAGAGAGCACGATCGGGGAGGACCGAGGAGCATATAGGGAAGGACCGAGAAGGATCGAGGGAAGAACAGTGCGCTGGGATCGGCCGATACATCGCCGGCAGATCGGCCGTGAGCACCCGAATGGGGAGCAGCACCTGTCCCCGGGCGGGGTGAGAGGCCCAGGCCCACAATCGGCGAGGAAGGAGCGATCGGGAGCCGCTGCCCGGGGACGCGCAAACATGAATCAGCGATCCATGGATCTGGCGCGCGGTCGCCAAGTCCATGGGTCGGGGGAGGTGGCCTCCCCAAAATGCGGCCGGTGCCGCCTCGCTCGGCGGCGGAGATGCGCGATTTCCGCCGGGAACGGGACCCGTCGCTGATCCACGCCCCCTTGACCCACGTTTGCGATCGCCCGAGATGCGGTCCCCCCGGAGGTAGTCCCTCCCCCAGTGGTTCGCAGATGGGGTCCCGAAGGATAGGGTCCTCAGAGTGGGAGGGGGTCCAAGGTCCAAGGATGGATCTATATTGTTTGAGGCACCTCGTCCTTAAGATAAGGTCGGGCATGTCCCCTTGCAGGCGGATGTTCGACGAAACATGCAACATACTAGACAAATTCTCAAACATATTCAAGACTAGTCAAAGAATCGTCCCAAAACTATGTTGTAACTGTATTCGGATATTCCTCCTGTAGAGGGACGGGCCCGACTTACCCTTAGGACCCCATCCCTCGGGGCCCCATCTCCGACGCACCGAATCGTTGCCCTTGGTAGGGAATCGAACTCTATACACCGACGCTTTTTCCGGCCCTGCATTGAAATTTGCACAGGAAAGCGGATCCTGGTGTATACGGGATTCTGGTGTATACATTCTTCGCTGTTTCCCCGCGAAAGCGGGGAAACAGGTATACACCACACCACCCCGACGTCGTCCCCGACCCTCGAAAACGTCCTGGGATTGAAAAACCGCCCGCCACTGGTAATGTATATGCTCCAGTTTCCGGCTTGGGGAAGTAAGAGGGGCGCGCATGCGCCCACGGGCGAGGCCGTGGGGCGTGTGCCCCACCAGACCGCACGGGCAGGCGCGCACGATGCCATGAAGGACCAGAGCGAGCATCGCGCTCCCAGGGGAGTGTGGAGGAGAAACAGCCAGGCATCCTAGAACGGAAAATGTTCCACACGCGCAGGAAAAACATACATTACAAAAAAAAACGCCCTGGAGGTGCAGAAACGGAAGAGCGAGGGACGCCACCGACGGCAGATTACCGAGGCAGCGGAGCATCCAGAAAGGAAGAGGAACGCTAGCAGGCACCCGCGACAAGAAAACCTGATGTGTCGGCGGTTTCTGATCCTGGGTTTCGACATGTGGCCGAAGGGTCGAGAAGGGAGGGGGGTCTCGGTTCGGGCTGGTGCTTCGTCGATCTGCTTCTGCCAGTCGCGCACGCAGACTGGGGGGAAGGGGCCCTGACCAGTCGCCAAAAGCAGCCGCCCACAACAGCCGAGATCTGGTCTTCTATGGGAGGGGGGGGGGGTCGCCCCCCCCCCCCCCCCCCCCCGATCTGCGAAACAAAATATAAAACAGCCCGACTAGAAGAAATCTTCGGGGGCATGTGTCGTCAATCTGTGTGGATCCGATGGTGCCCCAGAACTTTTCTGGGTCCCTGGGGTCATCGAGAGATACAACATTTTAGTGTGTGGCACCTGCTTGCAGGCCGATGTCTTCCTCGATGTGCCAACTGTACCGACCTTCCCGCCGAACTATCAAAGAGCCAGAACGGCCAATCCGCCACTCCTCTAGCGGGATCTCCCACTCGCGCGGGGTCACCGACAAACGAGAACACAGCGAGGCACGCGCACTGCAGGTCAGAGAAAACGTGAACTTCTAGCTCTCATCGCGGTGAGCAGACAATATTTCCGCTGGTGCTTGCGCGTCGACCTAGATACGGTGATGGACTGACAGCTGCCACAAGCACCCTCGCCGACAGAGCCCTCCGAAGAGGTCCGGGGCGGGGCCCACAAGCTGACCACCGTGGCACCTTGCCTTGCAGCCATCGGTCTACCAGAAAGAACGCCGAAGACGGACGAAACTCTTCTGGCCACCTCCATCCTCGGCCACGAACGGATCTTCCGACCTAGATCGAGGGAATAGCAAGCAAACCAGAGCCCCTCCTGAGCCCGAAATGGTCCTTATTTCAGCGTCTTGACTGCGTGAGTGCGGAACAGATCATAGAGACTGAGCAGCTGAGGGCCGCCTGCAGGGCGCACCTCAAACCGAATGAGGCGGAACACAACGAGGATGTCAAGGCAACCCTAAGAAGATGACTCAGATGATGAGCAACGGGTGACCCCGAGGTTGCCCGATGACCACAAGGTCCCCCGCCCAAGCGACCACAACGCTCCTCTAAACTAATCCGAGGACGACCCCGCGATCCCGAGTGATCTTAAGATGAGCTAAGATGAACTGCAGACAATGTCCAAAAGAGTTTAGTTTGAACGCCCCCCCCGGATGGGGACACAGTACTTCTAAACGATGCGATTCGTGATGGGACGGGCACCACTTGTTTCATGACAAAAAAAGATCGACGGAGATCCCGCCCACATCGCGCAAGAATGATGCCATACTAGGCTTATACGTAGACAGCGTGCAATGAAGCGGAGCTGTCTTCCCCCCGTCTCCAATTATTTCCTCGGGGCCGCTGCCACGGGGGGGGGAAGGGGCGCGCCTTCGCGGGCGAAGAAAGCCCTCGACCGAATCGCACCCTGGAGTATATAGTAACGAGGCGGGAGCCCAATTCCTGAGTACATCTTGGGGACGTCTCAAAGACGAGTCACATGTCGGTGCACAGCATAGCGAAGCCTCCGTTGGGAGCGATACTGCTGAGCCAGTGGCGACGAAGTGCCTGCCGGGCGACAGTCTGATCCAGCATCAGGCTGCGAGGGCCTGACCACGAGCAGCATCCACGCTCCAGAGCATGATACGCACCACCTCGAGCCGCACAGATCCGCCACCATGCCCCCATTGAGCGTTGAGGCGCAGGATCCGTTACAGGCCAGCGCCACAGGAGTGCGTCCCAGGGCGGACGGGCCTGGCCCGCTGAAGGGGTGCCCGAAGGGCGGGGGGTGCCTCGCCATCAAGGGCCAGCGACCAGACGCACCTCCCAGCGCATCGCGCATCGCAGGCCCGCTCGGGCGGCTTCCTCGAGGAGGATGCGCTCGCACAGCTGAGCCACCCCCTGCTCATGGGGTGCGGCGGCTGGCGCGGCCCTGACCCGTCCTGTCTGGCAGGGCCTCTGCAGCCTTCTGAGGCCCCCCCACCCCCTGCCACGCTGCCTTGCCTGCATCGGCCTTCTCTCCCGAGCCTCCCCGGGCGGCCCACGCCTCCTCGGGGCGCCAGGATGGCCCCGCCATTGCTTCAAGAAGCGCCAGGGAGTTCCCAAGAGGCAACCAGCAGGCTCCAAGAGGCCTCCAGCAGGCCCCAAAGACGACCCCCAAGACGCTCGCCAAGGGGCCATCGGGAGGCCAACCACAGCGATTGGCCGTAAATTGTGTCAGTGTGTTTCGCATTCGACGATCGGTCGAAGATCGGTCCACTTGCGGGTCTTCGACGGCCCAAAGGAAACCACTGAGAACCCCGAGAGGGCTCCAAGACGGCCCTGAGAGAGCTCAAAGCTGGCCCAAGAACTTCCAGACGGCCCTCAGGCAGCACAAGATGGCCCCTAAACGGCCCAGGATGCCACAAGACGGCCCACGACGGCCCCTAAGAGACCCCTTCACACAGCCAAGAGAGTGCCTAGACAGCCCACTAGAACCCCGAGACGGCCCAAGAAGACTCCAGGGCAGCCCAAACGAGCCCCAAAGGACCCCCAAAGACTGCTCCACGGGAACTCCAGGCAGCCCCGAGATGGCCCACAGAGCCCCCCGCACGAGAGCTCCTCGAGAAACGTGTGTCACAACATGTGGCGGCCTTCTGGGCGGTGCTCGAAGCGTTGCCATACAGAGTGGAGGATGTTCCGCAAGCAGCCGGATGGCATTCGCAATGGCTACTGCGGCGTTAGCTGGACAATAAGCATGGATGCGAACATATACACCTCAGGGGTTCTGCTCCAGTGGCTTCGCGTTTCTAGAGTTTCGATGCTCGGACGTAGGCGTGTGGTGGGTGGTATGTTCGCGGCTTGCTGTCGCAAGTCATGGTTATGATTACTGCTGGCCGAACTGAGTCAATGCGAGGAGTGGAAGAAATTGGGCGGGCGAGTGGGAGGATAGAGCACCTCTTCAATAATTTCATCTCTTTGATGAGCGAAGCGAACGTGCCGAAGTCCCACCCGATCACGACCTTCACGATCTCGACTGTCTTGTCGCGCACCTTGGACACACCCGTTCCCAGACCCCCGACGTCGGGATGTTTTCCCAACGTCGAACCCCAGAGGTCTTGACCCCTTCCCCAGGACAAGTTGTTCATCCTGAGCCGTGTTTGGCGGTCCCAAGGCCTGGTGAATGCCCCCAGAAGCCGAAAATAGTGAGAACCTGCCGCCGTGCTTGCTTTTTTACTACGCGAGGGGGTATGGGCCTCTCGCTCCCTCATCCCCCGGCCCGATCTGCTCCTCCGCGCCTGCTCGCCACTGCTCCCCCCCCCCTTGCCTTCTGCAGCACCCCCCGCCCGCCTCCCCCCCAAAATGCTCTCCTTCGGCGTCCCGCCTCCCTCGCCCCCCCCATTCCGCTCTTCACGCCCGCTTCCCCCCCCAACCCCAACTCCCTCGTCCCCCTTCCCACTTGTTGTGCGCACCACTATCATTCTGAAGACGAGCCAACGGCGAAGCATAGTCCGTGGCACAGCTGCCAAGCTTGGGCACTATGGGAACACGTCTGCTTCACAACAACAACAACAACAACAACAACAACAACAACAACAACAACAACAACAACAACAACAACAACAATCACTTTACCCGAACGCTCAGTGTTCTCACCAGTGCCAGGGTTTTCATGCGACGCCAGCCAATACCCCCACTTTGTGGGGGGGCAGTGCAAGCTCTACCAAATATCCACACGACTCTTCGCCACCACCCACACCCAGCTTCCCGCCCTATGACGTTCGGACACTTCACTTCGTGGCCTGCGGACGACCGTGGCTACTACACTGGCGTGGAGTACACACCCACAGAAGTTGTTAGGACAGCGCGCGCGGGTAGAAATTTTGAAAAGTCGTGCAGGTGTTTTTCGAGGACCTACGGTGCGATTCGTGTGATTTTATGATGCGCGGTGCTAAAATTCTTAAGAAGCCCAATGGTTTTTGGAGATTTCGGCGTGCGCGCGCGAAGAAAAAACGAATGTGTCCCGCATGGTATTATTTGACAGGGATGATGGCCCTGGCAGGTGCGCAACCGTTGTCGCAGAAGTTCGAAAAAGTTGCTCGCAAAAGCCCGTTTGACAGAAATGTTTAAAAAGTGTTGGGTTTCCTACGAATCCGCAAGAGCGCGCGGGATGAGATTTTGACATTTTTTTGTTGAAAAACCATTGGTTTTTTGATGTTTTTATGTTAAAATCGCTGCGAACACTAAGCTTTTGGAAGGATTTCGTCTTGCGCGCGCGAATGTCCACTTTACCTTATTTTTTGCAAGGGATTCTTGAAATTTGATTATATTAGAACAAGAAATGTCATTTTATAGTGTTTTTTGCAAGGGAAAGCGGGGGGGAACAAAACAACCGGATCTTGATCACATCGAATTACCTGAGGCTTCCTCACGAAAATGATGAAAATGTAGCTGCGGCCTAGGCGGCGCAGGGGGGCCGTGCACCAGGGGTCCCAACAATAATTATTCTTTAGAATTAATAATGTTCAACAACAACAACAATTACTAGCACGTGGGGACACGCCGTTCTCACCAGTGCCAGGGTTTTCATACGACGCCCGCCAATACCCCCACTTTGTGGGGGGGCCGGTTCAAGCTCTACCACATTTCCAAACGACTCTTCGCCACCACCCACACCCAGCTTCCCGCCCTATGACGTTCGGACACTTCACTTCGTGGCCTGCGGACGACCGTGGCTACTACACTGGCGCATGGGTACAGTGACTTGTTGTGGTAACATTTTCTGGACGCTAGCTTAGTATACGACTTTTCCCCCTGTTCCAACACTGGACACCTGTACTGGTTTTTGGTGGTAACGTGTTCCTGACGCTGGCAGGCGCGCGAACGCCGTTGAAAGAGCTTGCGAAAGTAGCTCGCGCGAGCTCATGTAACATAAATGTTGAAAAACCATTGGTTTTTTAGGATTCGGACAGCGCGCGCGGGTAGAAATTTTGAAAATTCGTACAGATGTTTTTCGAGGACCTACGGTGCGATTCGTATGATTTTATGTTGCGCGGTGCTAAAATTCCTAAGAAACCCAATGGTTTTTGAAGATTTCGGCGTGCGCGCGCGAAGAAAAAACGAATGTGTCCCGCATGGTATTATTTGACAGGGATGATGGCCCTGGCAGGTGCGCAACCGTTGTTGCAGAAGTTCGAAGCACGTGAAGTTGCTCGCAAAAGCCCGTTTGACAGAAATGATTAAAAAGTGTTGGGTTTCCTACGAATCCGCAAGAGCGCGCGGGATGAAATTTTGACATTTTTTTTTGAAAAACCATTGGTTTTTTGATGTTTTTATGTTAAAATCGCTACGAAAACTAAGGTTTTGGAAGGATTTCGTCTTGCGCGCGCGAATGTCCACTTTACCTTATTTTTTGCAAGGGATTCTTGAAGTTTGGTTATGTTAGAACAAGAAATGTCCACTTTAGCTTATTTTTTGCAAGGGAAAACCGATCGTAACAACACAACCGGATCCGGACTCCCCCGTTTTGCCTGAGACTTCCTCACGAAAATGATGAAAATGAGGCTGCGGCCTAGGCGCGGCGGGGGGGTCGTGCACCAGGGGTCCCAACAATAATTATTCTTTAGAAGTAATAATGTTCAACAACAACAACAACAACAACAACAGCAACAACAACACAACAACAACAGCAGCAGCAGCAGCAGCAGCAACAACAACAACAACAACAACAACAACAACAACAACAACAACAACAACAACAACAACAACAACAACAACAACAACAACAACAACAACAACAACAACAACAACAACAACAACAACAACAACAACAACAACAACAAAAAAAACAACAAAAACATCATCACGGGCTGAAGCAAGGGGCGCCATCGAGCGCACAGGGGCTTGCGGGACTGATGTGGGCGATGGCTACGTCTGCCTATCTAGTATGTTGTTCGCGCTCTTTCTCTCCCTCTCTGCTTCTCTTTCCTAACTATCCTGTGGTGTTGGGCCCTCGTTTTGACAAGACAGCGCCCTGCGTCGCTCCTCTCCTCTCCTCCTCCTCCTGCTCCCCCTCCTCCCATCCTTGTCTCTGCCCTCCGCACCAACCATCCATGTCGGCACACCCCTCACACGCTTTGTGGCCACATAGTGAGCTCCACCGACGGCCCCAGTGGCTGCGCTCGCATGCGCCCGCCGCACCAATTTCGGCACACCCCTCACAATCTCGTGGCCCCAAAATATGGAGCTCCACCGAATGCCCCACTGGCTGCGCTCGCATGCGCCCGCCGCACGCATTTCGGAGCCCGCCACACCAATTCAGGCACACCCCTCACAATCCCGAGGCCACAGAAGGAGCTCCACAGAAAGCCTCATTGGCTACGCTGGCATGCGCCCGCCGCACCCATGTCGGCACACCCGTCACACGCTTCGTGGCCCCATGCGGAGCTCCACCGCAGGCCCCAATGGCTGCGCTCGCATGCGCCCGCAGCACCGATTTCGGAACACCGATCACACGCTTCGTGGCCCCAGGGGGAGCTCCACCGAACGCACCAGTGGCTGCGCGCGCGTGCGCCTGCCACGTCCGTGTCGGCACACCCCTCACACGCTTCGTCGCCCCATACGAAGCTCCACCGAAGGCACCAGTAGCTCCGCGCGCATGCGCCCGCAGCACCCATTCCGGCACACTCCTCACACGCTTCGTGGCCACAGAGGGAGCTCCACCGAAGGCCCCATTGGCTACGTTCGCATGCACCCGCAGCACCGATTTCGGCGCGCCCCTCGCACGCTTCGTGGCCCCATGGGAAGCTCCCTCCACCGAAAGCCACAGTGGCTGCGTTTGCATGCACCCGCCGCACCCATTCCGGCACACCCCTCGCACGCTTCGTGGCCCCATGGGGAGCTTCACCGAAAGCCACAGTGGCTGCGTTTGCATGCGCCCGCCGAACATATTTCGGCACACCGCTCACACGCTTCGTGGTCCCATGCGGAGCTCCACCGACGACAATACTCACAATTACGCTACGCACAACTACATATGATTGGGTTCTTCGCCAGGCTATTTGTTTCGTCTCTCTCTCGTTCTCTCTTTCTCTCTTCTGCTGCTTTCTCCCTCTCTATCCCTATTTGTTTTATTCTCTCTCTCTCTCTCTTTCTACCACTCGCTGTGCACACATACGAATTCCATCATTCCACTCGCATTTTTCTATTACCCGGGACCCCCCCCCCGAAACCGGACCCCCCGAATCCCGGGCTCCCAGGACCCTCTGGACCCCCCTCTGGACCCCCTGGACGCCCGTGCAGGAGGCCCCCCAAGCGTTTTTCAGAGCTCCTGGAAGCCCTTGCTGGACCTAGGCAACGGGCCCAAATCGGACAGGAGGGCGGCCGAACGCCCCCCCCGAGGGCTCCAAGATGCCCCAGACACCCACCAGACACCTGAAGACGACCCAAAGAAAACCCCCAAGAGGCTTCCAAAACACTGAAAAACATCAATTGTTCCAAGGTTTGCGCATGATTTTGGGAATGCCATGCTCTGTGGTCTTCTGGGCGCCGGAGACTGCCTGGGAACCGAAAGCCGCCCCAAAACCATCGGAAAGGGCTTCCAGGCAGTCTACTTTGTCCAAGAGAGCCCCAAGATGGCACAACAAGGTTCCAAGATGGCCAAAGGGGGCCCTATGGCGGCCCAACATGGCCCCAAGACACCCTCCGGAGCATTCCAAATTGTGATCTAGTCGTTCAGGGAGACCGCGGCTGGAGGCAGGGTGGCCCGAGGAAGCCCCCAGATACCCCCAGAGGACACCCAGGAGGCTTCCAGAAGGCATTAAGAAAGCGGAAAAGCTTCCGCGAGGCCCCCAGAGGCTTTCCAAGGAGGAGTTTCCGCAAAAAGACCTAAGTAGGATGGCGAATAGTTCTTAGGGTAAGACTAGAATGAAGAAACATAGGAGGAAGGATAACGAATCACATTATTGTAACGGCGATGCCAGTCAAGGCAACAAGGAGTTATCGCTGAATTGCCTGTTCGACCGTCCTGCCATTCCGCCCGCATGCTAAACTTCAAGGACCAAGGTACATGGCGCGAAGCGCCAATGCAGTCCTGTATATATATATATATATACACACACAAGTGGCACGTGTGTGCCCACGCTCATACAAAAAACTGAAGGGGCGTTTGAAGCAGGAGTGAAATGCAACAGCGAAGTCGCACTCGAGCGCAAGTGGGGTTGCCACACCTTGCGATGTGTGTACCAGGGCCCCCCAGGAAGCCTCAGGAGGCCCGACTTGGATACCAGAAGAGGAGGAGGCCCCAGGATTGTGAGTGTTGTGTGTGTGTGTGATGTGTGCTCTGTGTTGTGCGTGTTTTTTGTGCGTTGTAGGTGTTGTGTGTGTGTGTGTGTGTGTGTTATGTTTGTTTAGCGTGTGATGTGTTGGGCGTGATTTGTGTCTCTGTGTGTGCATGTCGTTCTGAGGCCCCAGGAGGCCCCTGGAGGCCCCAGGCGGCCCCAGGAGACCCCCTGGACGCCCGTGCAGGAGGCCCCCCAAGCGTTTTTCAGAGCTCCTGGAAGCCCTCGCTGGACCTAGGCAACGGGCCCAAATCGGACAGGAGGGCGGCCGAACGCCCCCCCCGAGGGCTCCAAGATGCCCCAGACACCCACCAGACACCTGAAGACGACCCAAAGAAAACCCCCAAGAGGCTTCCAAAACACTGAAAAACATCAATTGTTCCAAGGTTTGCGCATGATTTTGGGAATGCCATGCTCTGTGGTCTTCTGGGCGCAGGAGACTGCCTGGGAACCGAAAGCCGCCCCAAAACCATCGGAAAGGGCTTCCAGGCAGTCTACTTTGTCCAAGAGAGCCCCAAGATGGCACAACAAGGTTCCAAGATGGCCAAAGGGGGCCCTATGGCGGCCCAACATGGCCCCAAGACACCCTCCGGAGCATTCCAAATTGTGATCTAGTCGTTCAGGGAGACCGCGGCTGGAGGCAGGGTGGCCCGAGGAAGCCCCCAGATACCCCCAGAGGACACCCAGGAGGCTTCCAGAAGGCATTAAGAAAGCGGAAAAGCTTCCGCGAGGCCCCCAGAGGCTTTCCAAGGAGGAGTTTCCGCAAAAAGACCTAAGTAGGATGGCGAATAGTTCTTAGGGTAAGACTAGAATGAAGAAAAATAGGAGGAAGGATAACGAATCACATTATTGTAACGGCGATGCCAGTCAAGGCAACAAGGAGTTATCGCTGAATTGCCTGTTCGACCGTCCTGCCATTCCGCCCGCATGCTAAACTTCAAGGACCAAGGTACATGGCGCGAAGCGCCAATGCAGTCCTGTATATATATATATATATACACACACAAGTGGCACGTGTGTGCCCACGCTCATACAAAAAACTGAAGGGGCGTTTGAAGCAGGAGTGAAATGCAACAGCGAAGTCGCACTCGAGCGCAAGTGGGGTTGCCACACCTTGCGATGTGTGTACCAGGGCCCCCCAGGAAGCCTCAGGAGGCCCGACTTGGATACCAGAAGAGGAGGAGGCCCCAAGATTGTGAGTGTTGTGTGTGTGATGTGTGCTCTGTGTTGTGCGTGTTTTTTGTGCGTTGTAGGTGTTGTGTGTGTGTGTGTTATGTTTGTTTAGCGTGTGATGTGTTGGGCGTGATTTGTGTCTCTGTGTGTGCATGTCGTTCTGAGGCCCCAGGAGGCTCCTGGAGGCCCCAGGCGGCCTCAGGAGGCCCCAGGAGACCCCAGGAGGCCCCAGGAGGCTTCAGGAGGCCCCAAGAGGCTCCAGGAGGCCCCAGGAGGTTTCAGGAGACCCCCAGGAGGCTCCGAGGCGGGGTCTGGGGTACCAGAAGGTTCAGAAAGCCCCAGGAGGCCCCAGGAGGTTCCAGGAGGCCCCCAGGAGGCTCCGAGGCGGGGTCTGGGGTACCAGAGGGTACGTCGGGGCTCGATGTTGGGAGGATGTTTCAGGCGAAACCGCCATTCTCTGAGAATCGGGGTCAAAATTATTGAATTTACAATGTGTTCTTGAAGGTTTTATGTTAAAATGTTGAAATTCCCATGTGCTGTTGGACCCTGACGCCACGATCTGCGTGAGGGGTGCCACCGAGTTTCAGCATTTCGAGGATCTCCCTAGCGAAACGGCCAGAAAAATCGCGGACGCGGCGCCCCGCATACGCACTAATCGCCTGTGAGCTCTACTCCCTCGGAGAGGTGCGTATGAGAGTACATATATATATATATATATATATATCACTCGTACCTTGGACATCGAGGTCAGAGCGTCCGACTAAGACTAGAAGGGCGCTCGGGAGTGGTCAACAAGTAGAAGACGAGAAACGAAGGGGTGCAGCAGAGGAACGACCAACTGCATAACCAAATACTTTCGGAGGTCCGCACGGATTTCTTGGCTCTGGGCTGGATCCCCCCTCCCTGGCCTGGAGGCGCCACCGGGGGTGTCCAGTGCCGACCCAAGAAATCTGCAATGAAGCTCCGATGTATGCAGTTGTGTTCCTCTTCGAGTGCAGGGGACAATGGGGGAGTGGAGGGAGCGTGGAGGGGAAATGTGGGACGATGGTGGGAGGGGGGACGGACTGGGAGACCATGCGCGGCGGGGCTCCCGGGGCACCGCGTTGTTGCTAAACCACTCCTTCAGCGACTTCTCGTCGGTGGCCGTGACTGGGAGCCCCTGGAACATCACCGCGAAGTCGTCGGGGAGAACCAGGTCCTGAGGACAGACGCGGGAGGCGGCGGGGCTGCGGCCATACAACAACTTAGCCCGTAACTCTCGAAGGGCCGCACGGACTCCTGGGGTCGGCGCCGACCCCCCCTCCACGCATCCCTGGGGGCGCCCCCACCCGCAGCCGACGCGATGCACGCGCCGGGGGAGGGCGCGTGGGGAGGGAGGTCCAGCGCCGACCCATAGAGTTCGCCCAAGCCTCCAAAAGTTCATGCTTTTTCCGGGGAGAACGGGTATGCTGCTTCTGCTGCTTCTGCTGATGATGTTGATCATGCTGATGATGCTGGCGATGATGATGCTGATGCTGACGGTGATGAGGATGATGATGCTGCTGATGATGGTGCTGACGGTGATGTTGAAGGTAAGCAGCATCATCATCATCATCATCATCATCATCATCATCATCATCATCAGCAGCAGCAGCAGCAGCAGCAGCATCAGTAACATCATCAGCATCATTCGGCGGCGAGCCCAGGGGGAAGTGAGAAGAGGCGGGCCTTCTCAGAAGGCTCGGAAGTTCCCCGACCTTCTGAGATGTTTTCTAATAAGCCTCCCCGGAGCATGCAGAACATCTCTCAGAGGGCGCGAGGGCATCTGAGAAGTCCCGCCGCTTTCTGAGAAGGCCTTCTCCTTCTCACTTCCCCCCCTCGCTCGCCGCCGAATCATGATCATCATCAGGATCACTATCGATGGGGGCAGAGGCAGGAGAGGGGCGGCCAGCTTTCCGCCGCAGCGCGGCAAGGAGGCGACCCGCACGCGCGCCCCAGCGGGCCCGACTCGGGCACGCACTCACGGTCCGGCTTGCAAGAGAGGGAACGGGGCCAGAGAGCGGCCGCGGAGGGCGGGAGACGGCCTCCTCCTCCTCCTCCCCCTCCCCCTCCTCCTCCTCTCCTCCTCCTCTCCTCCCTCCCCTCGTCCTCCTCCCCCTCCCCCTCCCCCTCCTCTCCTCCTCCTCCCTCCTCCTCCTCCTCCTCCTCCTCCTCCTCCTCCTCCTCCTCCTCCTCCTCCTCCAGGGCACTCGCAGCACAGAAGAGCTCCGACGGGAGTGGGCTGGCGAGGGCTGGGCAGGGCACCAGCTCCTCGCAGGCGCGGAGGCAGCGGGCGGGAGGCCGGGAGGTGGACCACTGGGGGCGGCGGAGGGCGGCGACGGGCGGCCCCTGGGCACCTCGGCCGCGGCGCCGTGCGAAGCGAGAGCCCGGCGCAGGATCCCTGGACCCCCTCGCCCTGTTGGGCTCGATCCCTTGTACAAACTCTTTAGAGGACCCCAAACATAGTGTTACACTCTTTCGGCCCTGTGCACTCTTTAGAGCACTCTTTAGAGCACCCCAAACACAGTGTACACTCTTTAGAGCACTCTTTAGGCCCTGTGAGCAGAAACACGATGGGAGGCTTTTCACTCGTTTCGGCCTCCGGGGGCCCTCGCCGGGCCCCGGGGCCGGCAAGAAACGACTCGGGACGAGAAGCTGGTCCCGGGGAAGGGCTCCGGACCTCTGAGGGTCGACGTAGTGAAAAAAACACAGCGTCGGGGGGTCGACGTTGTGGAACATTAGTATGATTATTATTACTATGATTATTATTCTTCTTCTCCTTCTTCTTCTTCTTCTTCTTATTCTTCTTATTCTTAACCTTCTTTTTGAGGAAATCATGGGGGGGGCGGCGGGAGGAGATGGGAGGACAGAGGGAGGGGATCGGAGGAGAGGTACGCGAACGGCGCTCATGCACCGCACCATGCTTGGACTCCCTGCAGGCCCCGCTCCGACGCGGCCCGGTGCGTAGTTTTCTGGCTCAGAAGGGTCGAAGAGCCATGCACGGTGCCACTCCCGGTGCAGGAGCCTCCTGCTCCTCCTCCTCCTCCTCCTCCTCCTCCTTCTCCGACGCTAAAGCGGTGCGGTGCCCACGAGTCGCCCGCGCAAGAGGAGAGGGGACGTCTCTCGGGGTCCGCGTCCAACCGCGTGTCGGTTACGACCATGAGCTGGTAGGCGACGAAGACCGACCCGCACAGCACCACCAGGCACACGAAGTAGATGGAGCAGATCGCCCGGGCTTCCTCTCGGGTGCTCGGCAGGGAGGGGGCGGCAGAGGGAGAGAGCGGCTTCGCCACCAGAGGGACTGGGGCAGGGGGGAAGAATCTGGAAAGGGGAGAGGGGCGGGAGAGGGGGAGGACAAGCTAGGTACGCGCGTGCCATATCCGACATCCTCATACCCATCCCACCCATCCCTTCCCATTGCGTTGATCGATTCCGTTTTCTAACTCCGCACACGAGTGTCCTAGCGGACCTGGATCACCGCAGTGACCACGCCGTATGATACGCAAAGGGGAAGGGAACTGCAAACATCAGACGAGAAGGCAGAGGAGCCAGAGAAGCTCGGAGCAGGAAGAGCTCGGAGCAGGATGCGGCGGATGAGCAGGGGGGTGAGCAGGAGGAATAACAAAAGTGGGGAGAAAGAGGAAGAGGAAGAGGAGGCGGCGGTGACGGCGGCGGCGACACGGCAACGGGCCGAAGGTCGAACTAACCGAGCCCGAGAACCCTCTGATAAAAATCGGAGACCTGCGACCTACAATGCGCGGCATCATACTGCGAGCAGCGGCTACCACGGCGGGGGCCCCGAGTCGTCCTCGCTAACCAAGGTCACGACGAGGATCTCAATACACACACAAAACTGTCACCGAAAGGCCATTCAAAACCGAGGGGCGACTTTCCCAAAGTCAGGATGAGGAGGAGAAGCAGCAGCACCAGCAGAAGGAGGAGCGGGAGGAGCAGGAGAACCAGGAGAAGGCGGAAAAGAAGAACGGGAACACCAGGTTGATACAAAACAAGCTGTCCCGAATAAAACAACACGCAACACATACAGATAGTGAGATCCTGTGCGCCTGTGTGTGTGCGTGTGTGTGTGCGTGTGTGTGTGTGTGTGCGCGTAAACACAATGCGTAACAGAGCTGGGCCACGAAAGCACAGGTTCAGGGGAAAGGGGAGAGGAACTCTCAGGTTGCATCGTCGTGTGGATGGTGGACACGGCAAAGGGGGTGGGGCAGGGTGAGGAGGGGATGGGAGGGGTGGGGAAGAAGAGAAGGAGGGAGAAGGGCAGGCAGAGGGGGGGAGAGAGGCAGGGGATAATGGGGACGGAGGCGCGTGGTGCGGAAGCTGAGGAGGCGGGGGGGAACGGGAGACGTGGAAGAATGGGAAAGACTTCGCATAGATGCGGCCCCCCACGTCGAACTGGAGGCCACTGCGTGTAAAATCTGCGTCGGTGACAAAACAACCAGCTCTACCTCCGAAGCACGCAGGACCACACAGAATCTCGCCCGCGCGGCCCCATCGCCTTCCCCTTCCCAATTAACCCCCCTTTACCACCCTGCCCCACCCTCCGTTCGTGCCCCCTGTCATCTCCCCCTCCGTCTAGCTCCCGCCCCCACGCCCATCTCACTGTTTCTCTACCCCTCTCTCTCTCGCTCTCTCTCTCTCTCTCTCTCTCTCTCTCCCTGGCTCCCTCTCGCGCCCCTCCCTCTCTCCGTCTTTATTGTTTTTGTCCCCCCCTCCCGCCTTCCTTCCCTGCCCAACTCGCCCCCGCCTTTCATCGACAACAAGTGTTACGGATCGGAATCTGGTTCCGAGCTGAAGCTCGGGCCGCAAGGAGGCCCCCGGGGAAGCTGTGCGAGTAACGTCAGATGTTTGACGGCCGTCGTCGGTTTGGGCGTCCTGACTTCTTCCGCCGAGCGACTCAGGGGTCTGGAGTTCGCATGGGCGCGGTGAATCTTCTGAGTGAGCGCGCGCATCCTACGTGGAGATGCCCAGGGGAATGTGGCGTGAGGAAGTGCGTTCGCGCATGGACTTCGGTTTATTTCCTATTGTGACCCGCCAAAAATACGCGTCTTGCGAGGAGTTCGACACGCGCGCGCGGAGACGCGCGCGTGGCCCGCCTGGCGATATCTGAAAGAGCTAAAAGGGCCAGCCATGATTGTTGGATGGTGTTGAATGCGCGCGCGTGCGGTACACGCGTGGTGGAATTTGACTGACCGAGAAGGTACGATTGGTGCCTCATGGCCCCAACGATGTCATGTTGGATACGCGGGGGAGTTTTGTGTACACATACGGTGATGCCATTGGATAAGGTAACCTTCGATCAGGAATCCTGGGTCTGGGAGCCAGCGGAAAGCCAATCGTGGATTGCCCGTGGATGTCACCGCCGCCCTCATCAGATAAGGAACCCCCCAGGGTCTGAAGCCTCCTTGGCACGTTCCTTAACGAACGCCCCCACCGTAGTTCGCACCAACACGCACGTTGACATTGCGCGCGCGCGGCCCCGCATTGTAACATTTCACTCGGACTCTCACAGAGTGCGCTTGTCCCCCGCGCTCGCACGATTCCACAGCGTACCTCGCACATCCACAATGCAATGCGGTGGAGGCATAGTTTCTCACTTCGAGGGCGCGCAAGCGCGCCCGTGCCACGCGCGGACTTCAAAGGCTCAGGGAAACTGGCCAGGGAGCAGCCGCCCAAACGGGAAATCCGCGCCAGCTCGCTAGTCGAGGAGGAGCGCCCGCTTCGCGCTGGCCGCCCGCCCCGCGCCGCCAGCCCGCAGGGGTCCCCAGCTCCAGGCCCCACCCGGGCGGCAGACCCAGCTTGGCGGCCAGCGCCTGGACAACCGCCTCGAGCGCGCCCTCGCGACGCGCCGCCTCCACCAAGGCGGCGAACCGATGCGCCGCTTCCACCGACGGCTGCTCCGAGGCAGCATGAGCTCCGCCTGCCGCCGCCGCCGCCGCCGCCGAAGCCGCAGGAGCAGAGGCAGGCTCCGCTGAGGCCGCCCCTCCAAGAGGTTCTCCAGCGAGAGGAGCATCAGTGCCGCACGCGCCGACGGCACCGCACCCCGGCAGCAAGGCTGCCGCAGGTGCCAGGGCCGCATCACGCCGCAGGCCATCATCAGCCGGCTCGTCGTTGAACTCGTCTTCGTCCATGGCGTCCGCCGCAGCGGCCGCCCGCTTCGCCCCCGCCAGCCGCTGGCGTCGGCGGCGCCTCCAGAGAACCTCGCCGAGGCCCTTGCCCTCCGATGCCCTTGTCCTTGCCCTTGTCCTCGCCGCCGTCGGCCTCGCCAGCGCTCGCCTCAGGCCGCGACGCCATCGCGAGCAGGGAGGCGGAGGCGACCGAGCGCGCGATGGCGGCCACGGTGCGGCGAGGCGCATGAGCCTGCACCGCCGCGCGCACGGCTGCAGCCATCAAGGCGGCGGCAGCGCTGGCGGGTGGAGCTCCTCTAGGCTCCGCCATCGCGCACCGAAGAGGACGCGAGGCGGCACCTTGCGATCGCTTGAGCCAAACGTACGGTGGGGGCATCGGATACGGATTCATCTTTTATTAGGCAGCATAGAGGACCACTTCGTGAAATATCCACCTGCTCGTGATAAGTACGCATACTACACTCGAGAGCTGACAGGTCACGAGTGCCTCGCTGTCACGCCGCAGAGCGTGATCCCACAATGGGTAGTATGCAGTCCCCCCGATGAGAACTGAAAACGGGGCTCCGAAACTCGAAAGCTAGTCACCCCCTCGTTCTGGCGACTCCTGGCCAGGCGCAGGTCACCAGAGGCAAAGCCTCAAGACTGCCAAATCATTGCACGCTCGAGCAGCGGATGTTGACCCCGCTAGGTGCGCCGCGCGAGTGAAAGACTGCCCAGGGCTGCTCTGAGAGCGCCGGCACCTGAGACGCCCCGCACCCCCAGGTCAGGCGTACGAGAACCGTTGCTGAAACTAGTGCCTAGGCAATCGACGAAGGTGCCTCGGTTTTTTATATACTAAGGGTAGTGGTGGGAACATTTGCATCGACTCCCGTAGCCCCTCGGCGAACTGTTGGTTGAAAGCTGAGATCATGTGCATGCTAAGCCGCTCCATGCTTTCAGCGTGGGCTTCGTCCCGCGGTCGCAGGAGGGAGGGTGTGCGCAGGGCCCTCAGGACCTAAGAGCAGATCGGTCCGGTCGCCATCCCACTCGATTGTGCTCGCGGTCCGGTTCCCAGCGGGCAGCGTCTCCAGGCAAGGCAGAGTGGTCATGACGTCCGCGGCCCCGGAATCCTCGCAAGCGCTCATGAGCGCCACGCCCAAAGCCGTAAGCCGGAACACATCCAGATGGGCGCGAGAAGCCCTGATAATCTCGTCTACGTAGGCGATGGGCACTCAGCCGTGCAAGGGGGACCTCAGCATATCCCGATATGGGATGTAGACCTCCGACATCGTGCCACAGGACCGCGGCGATAGACAGCACGCACCCAAACTCACAGAAGCTGCGCATCCAGCTTCAACCATTGTCAGCGGCGTAGTGCTCGGGGCCACAGGGGCCACGCAATCAATATCAACCATGGGTAGAACAGCGAGACGATGAAGCAGAAGTACTTCACGAGGTGATGGGGGCGGAGAAGCTGAAGGAAATGCGCACTCGCTTGCATCCGCCCCGCACGCCCTGCAGCCAGCTGCCCGCGGCGCCAGCGGCGGCGCGCGCTCGGGCCACGTGCCCGCGAGCGTCGAGGGGCCACACAGGCCATAGGCGGGCGGCCCGCGAACGGGGACAGGCAAATGGCCGCCGTCATCGGGGGGCAGGGTCTGCGGCGAGTGACCTCGTCGCGACCCGGCGAAAATCATCCCCAGGCCGTAGGGTCTCCAGCTTGAGCCAGAGTGGCCCCTTTATTATTATTATTATTATTATATATAGATGCTCCACCCGAGGGCCTGACCAGAAGGCGCGAGGGAGAGGCGAGAGAAGAGGGAAGCCCCGGAGCTCTCGCCGATCTCTTTCACAAATCACTCCAGATCTGGCAACTGGTCGCCTCCACGAGGCAATCTCGCTAGAAGAAGGGCTGGCTGAATACAAACACGCCTGCAGCCTCAGAGAGGCTAAACGATTCAAAGGCTCCCGGGAGCTCCGAAGAGTAGATGAGCAGACGATTTGGAAAGATTCAGCAGCCGTCACCAAGGAAAAAGCCCGCCTTTTTACACAGGGCAGGGTGGGTGGGTCACTGTGAGCCAATACGATTAAGGAGGAGGCCAGGGGAGGAGAGGGAACGCATCAAGACATTCACAACCTCCCCTCAGGCGGTGGAGACACGAGGCGTCACCACGGGTCAGAAACTGTACTCCGAATCTACAATCGTGCAACTGATGAATAGATGCTCCACCCGAGGGCCTGACCAGAAGGCGCGAGGGAGAGGCGAGAGAAGAGGGAAGCCCCGGAGCTCTCGCCGATCTCTTTCACAAATCACTCCAGATCTGGCAACTGGTCGCCTCCACGAGGCAATCTCGCTAGAAGAAGGGCTGGCTGAATACAAACACGCCTGCAGCCTCAGAGAGGCTAAACGATTCAAAGGCTCCCGGGAGCTCCGAAGAGTAGATGAGCAGACGATTTGGAAAGATTCAGCAGCCGTCACCCATAACCCATATTATGATTCACGGGTGGGCGGGATGGGCAAAATTCACAGAAAAAGATCGTAAAAGCCTCCTCGAATACTGTGATCAGGCGCTAGTCTGGAAACGAACTCCTGTGGCGCGAAGCAGCTTCTGTTCGAGGCGACTGGCGGCACGCTTGAACTGCTGCTGCTGTGCGGGCGAGAGGCGGCTGATCTGCCTCAGGAGTCGCCCCTCCTTGCCGCACCTCGCCACGGAGCGGTCGCTGAGCCAGCCCCCGCGCTTCTTCAGCACAGGGAGCGTGGCAAGGCCGTTCAAGTAGTCGAGAGAAGGGCCACCGTGTCGCAGCGTGTGCGGCGACACTTTCAGCGCTGCCAGCCCTAGTCGGTGGCTGGCCTCGCGGAACAGGCGCTCGTAAGAGGACAGCGGGAGCTCGTTGAACAGGCGCTGGGCACGACGTGCACGGGCTCTGGCAACGAGCTGTCGAACAAGCTGCCGAAGCCAACCACGAGATGGGTCGATAGACCCGACCATCACGGTGTCGTCAAACTGCTGATTCTTGTTGGGCCGAGGTGCTGGGCCACTCGAAGGGGCCACGATCAGCGCCACCTTGTCGTAGCGGTCGCCAGCCCTGCCTGAGGGCAACACCGCGTGCTCGAGGGACAGGCTGACCGCAGCCGCTGGACGAAGGTAGGTGTCGAACTGCAAGGCGCCGCAGGCGGCGGCAAGGATGGACTCGGTCGTGCCCAGCTCGAGCCAGTGGTCGGCGATCGCGGCGAACACCTCCCAAGGGCACGGGTCGCGGCTGAGCTCTGGGCAGGCTTTCACCCAGCCCGCCAGAGCTTTCACAGCATGTGGCAGGTTGCGCGAGGGCGCAACGATGCCGCGCAGGTGGGCGTAGCCGAACAAGGTGTGCCGACCAGCCCATGGCTCACAGCCGTCGAAAAAGAGAAAGTCAAAGTACGCGGAGAGGCTGGCGTCTAGCTGCTCGAGCGGAGCCAGTGCCCGGGGCGGGGCCTGTTGGCTGGCCCAGCGGACGAAGTCCGAGGAGCACGTCTCGTAGTTGACAAGCGTCCCCTTCCCGACGGTCTTGCGCTCCAGAAACCTGTCGCCGGGGTCGTGTCCCGCGGCGGCCCGTCGAGAGGCCGCCTTAGCAGCACGTCGTCGATCTCGATCTGGTAGCTCCGCGCCGAGGGCCGACCCAGACCACGCGCTGGCCCCAGTGCTTGACGGCGTCCTTCCACGGGCTCTGGTAGCACCTGGGGCAGTGAGGCCTGAAGACGTCGGTCGGGATCGGGCAGCCTCCGGCTCGCGCCAAGTCAGCTTCCCATCGCTCCAGCGAAGTGGCATCGGCCCCGCGGGCCGTGTCTGGAGCCGCCCGGGCCAAGATGGCTGCCCAGGAGCGGCAAAGTCGAGGAGGGTAGCGCCCTGCCAGAGTCGTCTTCCAGGCCCACCGCCCTCGAGCCTCGCCGGGCCCTGGAGGCAGAAGGACTTTCCCTTCCAGAATCTCATGATGATGGCTTCATGGGCATAGACGATGTAGCCCCTGAAGGGCCTGCATGTTGGTGGCCAGGAGGGTCGGCTTGAGATACCCCGCACCGTACGCACAGTTATCGTATCGGACACTGATCGCGTTCTGCCTCTGCAGCTCCTTCCTAAGGGGCCTCCAGGAGAAGAGCCTCGAGGAACGCGGGTTCTCGAGTGAGTAGTGGACGCCATACTGATTGCAGAGTTTGATGAGCCCCAACGAGAACTTGGCCAACTGGAGGCCCCCAAGAGCGGCTGAACTTGAGCCCGTCGTGCGGGCCCTCGACCAAGTAGCGCACGGAGTCCCCAAGTGGAGGTACCACACGAGCCCCTGCTTGACCAAGCCCTTGATGTGCCTCTGGGTCCTCTGCCTCGTGACGTCCATGTGGGGGCCCCTCGAGATCTCGATGGGGCACCCGATGTTGAGGTCGGCCTCCTGACAGGCGGCGGAGAAGGCGGCGCAGCCGGCGAAGATCTCCAGGACGAACTGATGCTGAGCTGACGTCCTGACGACAGGGTTGTTGCTTTTTCTGTGCTGCTCAGTCCGTGCTCGCGGGCCCCGCTGGCGGGTGCGTCGGCGGGGCCGCGCCGCGCCTGGGCTGCACGGAGCGGCAAAATGCACGCGAGGCCCCATGCGCCCGAGAGGTGACCGCCGCTCGGGCGGAGTCCGAACCCTCGTAGGGGTCGGGAGGGCTGCGGGCGTCTGCCGCGGCCCCATTCGCCCCAGCCCCGACCGCGAAGGCGGCGGTCGGCGGACCCGAGCGTAGGGTCGGACTGGGGTCGAGTCGGGGGCCCGCGAGCATCGCTGTAGCACCGCCCGGCCATGCCGGCCAGCGACGGAGCTCCCGGCGGCCAGCTCGCCTCGGTCGGCCGCCCTCGAGTCGAAGTCGGTCGGGTTCCTCTTGCTCTCCACGTGGCGAAGGGACCAGTCGAGCTCGCAGCCGATGGAGAGGGCCCCGGCGCGCTGGCACAGGCGCCGAAGGGCAAAGCTGCCCGAGCGCCCCTTCTCGAAGCTGCAGAGGCTCGAGAGGTTGTCCCCGATCGAGAGAACTCTCTTCCCGTGAAGGCCGACGCACCTCGAGGCCCGCACCAGGCCCATGAGCAGCACGCGGCCCTCCTTCTCATGGATGACCCCGTCGTGCAGCCACGCGCCCTTGATGACCATCGCCCAGCGCTTGCTCGCGAGCAGCGCGTCGGGCAGCGGCGGGATCCCCACCTCCTCGGCCGGCCGCTCCACGGTCTCGATGTCGCGCCACGGCCGGCAGCGAACCGCAGGTCCGCCGCCGAGGTCACGGGGGCCGCCGCCGAGAGACCCCGCTGGGTCTGGCGAGGCTCGCCATTCGGCCGACCAGCCGCCCACGGCCCCCCAGCCATCGTCGCTCCGCTCGACCGCGTCGAAGCGCCACCGCTCTCGGTAGCGCGCCACGGCCCGA